TTCCAGAAAGAAAACTATAAGGAATGAAAAGAGAATTTTTTTTTGAAAGACTTTTTTAAGAAGAAAATAAAAAGAAAAATATATGGCTCAATCTCCATTGTATGAGTAAAATAATCATGTCTTAAAGGATTAAAATATATCACACATTTACATTTAAAACTTATATACATCTAAACTTCTGCTTCTGGGAAGTGGAGTAAACATACTCTTCCCTATTCCTCCAAGTACAACCAAAACCCAGGACACTTTAAAACATAATCTGAAAGAGAGAAACAAGAAGATGGAGCAGCTTATGGACCTTGGGACCTAAGGATTGACTCAGTGTTGAGTATGCTACTTTTTTATTGTTTTTAACCTCATATATCCCAGACAAGGTTGAAGAAATGCCAATGGGTAAAGATTAAAAAATAGACTTCAAAACAAAGTCACAAGAGACAAAGAAGGACACTACATAATGATAAAGGGGTCAGTCCAACAAGAGGATATAAGCATTATAAATATCTATGTATCCAATACAGGAACACCTACATATGTGAAACAGATATTAACAGAATTAAAGGGGAAAATAGAATGCCATGCATTCATTTTAGGAGATGTAAACACACCACTTGTTCCAAAGGACAGATCAACCAGACAGAAAATAAGTAAGGAGGCAAAGGCACTAAACAACACATTAGAACAGATGGACCTAACAGACAGCTACAGAACACTCCACCCAAAAGCAGCAGGACACACATTCTCAAATGCACACGGAACATTTTCCAGAGTAGATCACATATGAGGACACAAGAAGAGCCTCAGTAAATTATGAAGGATTAAATTGTACCAACCAGCCTCTCAGATCACAAAGGTATGAAACTAGAAATAAATAATGCAGAGAAAACAAAAAAAGCCTGCAAACCCATGGAGGCTTAACAACATGCTCCTAAATAATCAATGGGTCAATGGCCAAATAAAAACAGAGACCAAGCAATACGTGGAGACAAATAAAAACAACTCAACACCCCAAGATCTGAGAAGCAGCAAAGGCAGTTCTAAGGGGAAAGTATACAGCAATGCAGGCTTACCTCAAGAAAGAAGAGCAATACCAAATGAACAGTCTAAACTGTTAACAAACTAAAAAAAAGAAGAACAAATGAGGCCCAAAGTCAATAGAAGGAGGGACATAATAAAGCTCAGAGCAGAAAGAAATAAAATTGAGAAGAATAAAACAGTAGAAAGAATCAATGATACCAGGAGCTGATTCTTCGAAAAAATAAACAAAATAGATAAACCCTTAGCCAGACTTATCAAGAAAAAAAAGAGTGTACATACATAAACAGAATCAGAAATGAGAAAGGAAAAATCACTACGGAAACCACAGAAATACAAAGAATTATGAGAGAATATTATGAAAAATTAAGTGCTAACAAATTAGATAACCTAGAAGAAATGGAAAATTTTCTAGAAAAACACAACCTTCCAAAACTGACTAGGAAGAAACAGAAAATCTTAACAGACCAATTACCAATAACAAAACTGAACTGGTAATCAAAAAACTACCTAAGAACAAAATAGACAAAATAGACTTTAAAACAAAGACCAGATGGCTTCACCGCTGAATTTTATCAAACAATTAGAGAAGACCTGTACCCATCCTCCTTAAAGTTTTCCAAAAAGTAGAAGAGGAGGAAATACTTCTAAACTCATTCTATGAGGACAGCATCACTCTAATACCAAAACCAGGCAAAGACACCACAAAAAAGGAAAATTACAGGCCAATATTCCTGATGAACATAGATGTAAAAATACTCAACAAAATATTAGCAAACTGAATTAAAAAATACATCACAAAGTTCATCCATCATGATCAAGTGCTATTTATCCTAGGGATGCAAGGATAGTACAATATTCTAAAATCCATCAACATCATATACCATTTTAACAAAAAGGACAAAAAATACATGATCATCTCCATAGATGCTGAAAAAGCATTTGACAAAATTCAACATCCATTCATGATAAAAACTCTCAACAAAATGGATATAGAGGGTAAGTACCTTAACATAGTAAAGGACATATATGGCAAACCCACAGCCAACATCATAGTTAACAGTGAAAAGCTTAAAGCTTTTCTTCTATGATCGGGAACAAGACAAGGATGCACACTCTCCCTACTTTTATTCAAAATCGTACTGCAGGTCCTAGCCACGGCAATCAGACAACGCAAAGAAATAAAAGGCATCCAGATTGGTAAGGAAGTTCAGCTGTCACTGTTTGTAGGGGACATGATGTTGTAAATAAAAAACCCTAAATAATTCACCCCAAAACTACTAGAACTAATTACTGAATTCAGCAAAGTTGCAGGATACAAAATACACAGAAATCTGTGGCATTCCTATAAATGAACTAGCAGAAAGAGAAATTAGGAAAACAATTCCATTCACAATTGCATCAAAAAGAATTAAATACCTAGGAATAAAGCAAACCAAGGACATGAAAGACCTATACCCTGAAAACTACAAGGCACTGATGAGAGAAATTAAAGACACCAATAAATGGAAATACATCCCACGCTCATGGATAGGAAGAATATTGTCAAAATGGCCATCATGCCTAAAGTAAGCTACAGATTAAATGCAATCCCTATCAAAATACCAACAGCATTCTTCAACGAACTAGAACAAATAGTTCTAAAATTCAAATAGAACCACAAAAGACCCTGAATAGCCAAAGCAAACCTGAGAAGAAAGAATACAGATGCTCCCCAACTTCAAGTTCTACTACAAAGCCACAGTAATCAAGACAATTTGGTACTGGCATAAGAACAGACCCATAGATCAGTGGAATAGAATAGAGAGCCCAGATATAAACTAAAGCATATATGGTCAATTAATATATGATAAAGGAGCCATGGACATACAATGGGTAAATGATAGCCTCTTCAACAACTGGTGTTGGCAAAACTGGACAGCTACATGCAAGAAAATGAAACTGGATTTTTTGTCTAACTCCATACACAAAAGTACACTTGAAATGGATCAAAGACCTGAATCTAAGTCATGAAACCATAAAACTCTTAGAAGAAAACATAGACAAAAATCTCCTGAATATAAACATGAGCAATTTTTTCCTGAACATATCTCCTTGGGCAAGGGAAACAAAAGCAAAAATGAACAAATGGGACTACATCAAACTAAAAAGCTTCTGTACAGCAAAGGACACCATCAGTAGAACAAAAAGGCATCCTACAGTATGGGAGAATATATTCATAAATGACACATACAATAAGGGGTTAACATCCAAAATATATGAAGAACTCACATGCCTCAACACCCAAAATGCAAATAACCCAATTAAAAAGGATATGAACAGACACTTGTCCAAAGAAGAAATTCAGATGGCCAACAGGCACATGAAAAGATGTTCCACATTTCTAATTATTAGGGAAATGCAAATTAAAACCACAATGAGATATCACCTCACACTAGTTAGGATGGTCAACATTCAAAAGACAAGCAACAACAAATGCTGGCGAGGATGCAGAGAAAGGGGAACCCTTCTATATTGTTGGTGGGAATGTAAACAAGTTCAACTATTGTGGAAAGAAATATGGAGGTTCCTCAAAAAGCTAAGAATAGAAATACCATTTGACCCAGTATTCCAATCCTAGGAATTAACCCAAAGAAAAGATCACCAATTCAAAAAGACCTATGCACCCCTATGTTTATCATAACACTATTTTTACAATAGCCAAGAAATGGAAGCAACCTAAGTGTCCATCAGTAGATGAACGAATAAAGAAGATGTGGTACATATACACAATGGAATATTATTCAGCCATAAGAGGAAAACAAATTGTACCATTTGCAGCAACATGGATGGAGATAGAGGGCATTACGCTCAGTGAAATAAGCCATGCAGAGAAAGACAAGTAACAAATGATTTCACTCATTTCTGGAGTATAACAATGAAGCAAAACTGAAGAAACAAAACAACAGCAGATGCACAGACTTCAAAAAGGGACTAGCAGTTACCAAAGAGAAGGGGGTGGGGAGGGAAGGAGGAAGGGATTAAGGGGCATTAACAGTAGCATATATAAGGTAGAGGGGGTCATAGGGAAGGCAGTATGGCAAAGAGAAGACAAGTAGTGACTTTACAGCATCTTACTATGCTAATGCACAGTGACTGCAATGGGGTATGTGGCGGGGACCTGATAATATGGGTGAATGTAGTAACCACAATGTTGCTTATGTGAAACCTTTAAAAGATTGTATATCAATGATACCTTAATAAAAAAAATACACAGGAACTCTCTGAATTATTTCTTAGAAGTACAAGTGAATCTACAATATTCTCAAAACATTTATGCAGACATTATTTACATATAAACCCATATAAATTAAAATATATAACAGCATGTAAACCAGAAAATTGTATGGTCCCTGTAGTCCAGAAAGTGTATAAGGAATACTTTCAGACTTTGGTAACTATGTATACTATGAACTCTAAACTCCCTCTCCCTAAGTATAGAAGAGTTATTGTTTCAAACTAGGAGATGAGGAATAAATGAAATGATTTTTAAAGAAAATACCAAGCAAGACAAAAAGAGGAAGAAGAGAATAAATACTGTGGGACCAAAGTAAGATAGTAGAATTAAATCCACACATATCAGTTATTACACTGAGTGCAAATGGACTAAGTGTTCCAGATAAAAGACAAAGATTGTCAGACTGGATTAAAAAATAATTAAAAGAGGTACACTTTATACATGGTTTAGCAAAGTAAAACATAAGAAGATATGTCATGCAAACACTGACCAAAAGAAAGCTTGTGGAGTTATATTAATATCAGACAAAAAGCATTACTATATCTATAGAGATTCACTTCTAAATAAGTAAATGGTTTAATTCACTAAGATAAGATATTTTAATCTGTAACCTAAGAAGATAGCCCCAAAATACATAAAGCAAAATTAATAGCACCACAAGAATACACAAATCCATAATCATAATGGATTTTAACTTACCTCAGCAATTTATTGAATAAGCAGGAAGAATATTAAAAACTTTGGTTATGTTTACCTGAGTTGATTACACAGGTAAATACAGTTTTTAGCCAACAACTATCCACACCATATTCTTTTTAAGCACAAATCGTATATTTACAAAAATTAACTACTACATTCTGAACCACCTAGGAAGACTCAACAAATTTCAAAATACTGACACCATACACAGGATGCTGTATGACCAACAATACAACTAAGGTAAAAATCTATAGAAAATATTCATACTATGATTACCACCCAGCAATTCAACTCTTAGGTATATACTCAAAAGAATTAAAAATGTATGGATATACAAAAATCTGTACAATAACATTCACTGCGTTATTCATAATAGCCAAAAAGTAGAAAGAACCCAAATATCCATCAACTGATGAATAAACAAAATGTGGCATACATATAAAATTGAGTATCATTTAGCCACAAAAAGGAATGGAGTACTGATATATGCTACAACATGATGAACCTTGAAAACATTAAGTAGAAGAAGCCAGACACAAATGGCCAGTTGGATTCTTCTACCAGTAAACTGTAAGGGGAAAAAAAGTCAGAGAGAGGGAAGGAGAATTAAGGGGGAACTTATAGACCAAAAAAAAATTAAAAAGCAAGAGTCAATTACTAGTGTGGACTTTATCTGCATCCTGATTCAAAACATACTGCAGAAAATAAGAACTGGAAATCTGAACACTGAATGAATATCAATGAAGAACAGTGGGAAAGGGATCATTTCAACCAATGCTATGCTGGATAGTCATAGGAGGAAAAAAATGAAACTTGACTTTTACCTTCTAATATACACAAAAATCATTTTTGGGTGGATTATAGTTTGGATGATCTCCTAAAGTGTAAGAATCTTCATACAGTTATCTATTTCTAGTATTCCAAATTGGCACTTCTATTTAATGATGTCATTCTAATTTTTGCCAAGTTGTTGGTGGGTGGTGTATCATTTTGGTATTAACTTGCTTGTTGCTAACTTTGAATGAGGTTGACTATCTTATGATATGCCTGTTCCAGTCTTTTGCTCATTTTTTATTACATTTACTTTTTCTTAATGACATGAGTTCTTTTATGTCTAGTGTACTAGTTCTCTGTCAATCACATGTGTTACACACATCCTTTCCCACTCTGTGGCTTACTTTCACACTTCATGGAAGTTTGTAATTTTAATATAGTCCAATTAAGACCTTTTCTCTGGCTAGCTTTGTTTCCTACTTAAGGATTCATTCCTTACTTGAAGATCATGAAGATTTTTTGTATATTATCTTCAAAAAGGTTTGTAATTTTTGTTTTCTTCACATGAGTTGGGGCTAAACAGATGTTAACTTTACAATTGCTTATGAAACCATACATATTTTAAGTATTTATATTTATCTTAATAATCATACACACTACACATACCTCACAGAGCATAGGTTGATCTTTCCTTATTTTAGCTGTTATCTTGGAATAATAAATCCCTCTTCCCCCATTTTTACAATTTGTAAATTTTCATGGATAAGTAGATATATTATTTTTAATAATGAGGGTAAATGCCTTCTTCTAATTGCAGAAATATTATGACAAACTGTTTATTGAATGCCTTTTTGTGCAACACAGCATACTATACTCTTCATATACATAAACAAATTTAAGATTAAAAACTTTAAAAGGTAGCTATTATCAGTCTCTTTACTGAGGCAATTGCCAATGTTCATATAACTACAAATTTCAGAGCTAGTCTGTCCAAATTTGAATTGAACTTTTCCCACCATTCCACACAAATTTCAATAACTGGATAAAGTTTATTTACCAACTTACCATAAAGTTACCTTCCCCTTACAATATTCTGTGGCCTTTTCCTCATCTGATATTTAATTCACTTATTCAACAAATATTTCTTTAGCATCTACTATACTCCAGGGACAGTTCTATATACAGGATATCCAAGGGAATAAAGGAATGACAATATCTAAGCTTACATTTTGGTGGGGGAAACAGACAATAAAATTTCAGAAAGTGATCAGTTCTATGAAAAAAATGATGTGATTATAGAAACATCCGGCTGAGATTTGAATGCTAAATCAGCTATGTAAAAACTTCCAGGCAGAGGAAGCTATAAACATCAAAACCCCCAAAGAGGAATGAACCAGAAAGAAGGCTGCCCTGTCGCACTACAGTGAGCAAATAGGACAGTGTGAATCATGTGGGGCCAGGTCAGTCAGAGCAAAGAATTTAGATTCCATTCTTGTTGCATTGGGAAGCCACTGGAGGTTTTTAAACAAGGAAGTGTCACGGTACAATTTACCTTTTAAAAAAATAAGTTAGGACCTATGTGAAGAGAACACTCAGGGAGAGAGGATTGGGAAACAAGAAGAGTGGAAGTGGGAAGACACTAGTTTTTATAAAACTCCAAAGAGTAGATGAAGGAGCTTGAACTAGAATGGTAGCAATAAAAACAGAGAGGTGTTCAGCCTGCAGATATACTTTGCATGTAGATCAGATCAACTGAGTGTCTGTTTTTTCACTAACAATTATTTATTGCATGCTGTAAGGTAGCAGACACTGTGCTCAGTGCTCAGAATACAGAAATGAACAGAACAGACAGGGTCCCTGACCTCACAGAGCCTATGTATTACATATCCCACGGTGGAAACAGACATTTAATAGATAAACAAATAGAAATATCCTATAGTGTCATATAATAAATGTTACGATGAAAAATGAAGGAAAGGAGTGACAGAGGTGGGGTAACATTTTTGGCAAGTCAGGGAAAGGCTTTGCATACATGAGATGACATTTAAGCAATGACTTAAATAAAGCACAAGCCACACAAATAGTTGGGAGTAAAGTTCTCCAGGTAGAGGGAACAGCTAATGAAAAGACCCTGAGGTGAGAAGTTGATTATGTTGTGAGCAGAACAGCAAAGCCAATGTGGCTAGAGTAGCATGAGTAAGTAGGAGACAGGCAGATGAGGTCCAAGAGGTGGCTAGAGGACAGATCCCATAAAGCCATGCAGGGCATAGAGAAAATTTTGAATTTTTTTGAAGTGTGATGAAAAGCCAAGACAGTTGAGAGCAGCAGAGGGCTATCTGATTCACATTCCAGAAGGATCATTCTGACTGCTTTTCTGAACTGCTGAAGGATAAATACTATGAAAGGAGACATGACAGTGCCTTCAACTACAGTGCTACTAATATAGCTGTGGAATGGGATATATTTTGAGTAGGTTTGCTAAACTGAAAGAAAGTATGAAAATCATGTCCAGGATGATTTCTTGGGTTTGGCTTATGGAGTCAGGGAGCTGAATGTAGCATTTACTGCGATGGGGGACACCAAGGAACAAGTTAGAGAAGATGGATCAGAAGTTGATTTTGGTCCAGTGGAAATGTCAGGTAGGCTATGGCTATAAAAGTCTGGAGCTCAGGGGAGAGGTCAAAGCCTAAAATAACCTTGGTTTTGAAAGTTACTGATCTGGCTAATTCTCAAGAACAAAATTTCTTTCCTATATGGAAATTTACTGGCTCAGTTCTTAGAAGCCACCTATAGGTTCAAATGTATTTCTCCTATAGGTATAGCACAGTAATGCAATTTACCAAAGAATACACTAGTAAGTGATAAACTGTAACCATAAAATTTTGTATGGTCTTAGCTTCAGATGAAGATAGTTGATTAATTTTATAAATTACCAAGAAAAAGAAATGCAGGCTCCAACCTACCTTTATTCCCATTTTATTCCCTACCACCTACAAGTTGAGTCACTAATAAGTTCACAGTTAGCTATTCATTTTCAAAATAGAATTTATTTTTATAATAAAGAATTAAAATATGGCTGTGAAAAGTAGAAAATAATATAGAGAGATATTTAAAATGTGCCACAGAAATTTTAGAGTAAAGGTAGTTAAGCACTGGAGTTTATGCTCAACTTTTACTCGAAAGACCAACCAGTATTTTACATATTATTAATTACACTGGAAAAACATACCTACTAGAAATTTTAATTAATAGTTACAATTCAAAAGCAGGCTTATATATATTGATCAGGCCCTTTTGAAACTGTAAGTACAGATCTTAGGGATATATTTTTTGAAGTTGGCTACACTGAACAAACAAATAAATCTACTGTCCAAAAGCCACAAAGATTGTTTTTACTAATTCATCCATATAATGAACTTAATGTGGAGGAAATACGTACTTTTTGGATGAAACCAAATGTGCTGTTAAACACGGGACAAGAGTACCACCTTTCACTATGTTGGTAAAAAGCTGGTAAACGTGCATATCCTGAAGGCTTGGTTTCCACCAGGTGGGTCTCAAATTCAGACACTAAACACAGACGAAGAAATAGCTAATGAATTCTATCCATCCCTTCCCCAAAGTTTTACTTATAATTAAGATAAAGATATTATCTGTCTGAAGAACATAAAAAAAGAATTGGAAAATGTTTGGCTAGAAGGAAGACAACTCTTCAGGAACTATTGTTTGCAGTTTGCAGAATAGGATAATCTTCTCTAGGAAGAATAATGTCAACATAGCAGCACTATATTCACCAGGAATCCCAGAGTCAATGGATCTATCATGTGGCAGGAAGCCAAACCTTCTGGCTGCTCACAACATCACTCAGCTTCCCTTTAATCTTCAGGAAGTGTCTTTTAAATTCCAATCCATCACCCTATATAAGGAATAATATCCAAAAATAATGTCAAAAAAAGAAAAAAGCTATGCCATAAAGCAAACTCTTTTTATTGGTAAGTAGATACAAACATCCTTAGATATGTCCAGCTATAATTCCTTTCAGGTCCTCTTATGAAGACCAAATATCCTAGTAGAAGAAATGGCTATAATTAATTCTGACTCAATTTTGGGCTCATCATTGTTCACACCACACTGAGTTCAGATACAGAAATAATGGCATCTTGTTTATTTCAAGTGTTAGTATCTCTGGACCAAAGTCACTGTTTTCCATAGGCATTGGGGTTTGTAAACTAAAAATAAGCTACACAACTACACTGAAGTCTTGCCAAAGAATTGTGGCAACTAAGCTAGTGATTCAATTATGAGAAGGATTTCACTTCACTAGAATCTTAGTAATTTAATTCCATACCAAGCATCTGGACAAGAGTATTGCAGCAAATCTCCAATATAAAAGATGTGACCTATTCTTCCAGCCCTTTACAGCCATGTTCAATCTCTCAGGAAACAGAGAAAATGCTATTTTGGTCTTAATATATGAAGGGCTTCAAAACTATAACTTCAGAACCACTAATTTCTACAGAAATAATCAGAAATGTGAATAAAACTCTATGTATATGAATATTAATCACAGAATTACTTGTAACAAAGGTTGACTAACTAGCATACATTTTTGACAAAATGCACACTGTAATCAATAATTTTGTAATTTTTATAAAGAAGATATTATATATGACTTCAATATGAAAAAGTTTAGAATGCTTCAAAATGTTAAGGGTAGTTACTGCTAAACAGTATAACAGGATTATTTTTACTTTCTTATTTTTTACTTATTTATATTTTCTACAAAAAAGAAACAAAAAATTTTATAACATGGGAAATGTCATTTGAAAATCTATGCTTCAGAAGAAGAGATGACAAGAATAAATGTTCATAATATTAAATTAAAAAACAAGTTACCATATTTACAAATGCTATGTATATACAAATACAATGCAATCCAAAAAAATCTCCAAGTAAGAGTATTTCCATATAGTATATACTGTAAGTAGTAGTAAGACTACTATAATTAAATAATTCATCTGTGTTCTCTCTGGATGATTAAACTTGATTTTTATTTTCTTCCTATACTTTTTGGTATTTAAAATTTCTACAATGAACATGGAATACTTATTTAACAATAGCAAAACAAAGTATAAAAAAAAAAAGTGCTGTTATCCACACCTTAGAAAGTCGGAAGTCAACCAAGATCTTCTCATCCATTTCTACCAAATTCACTTTGAAAATCAGTTTATTGTTTCTTCTATCAGTTGTTGATACAGTAACCTAAGGCAATAAAAATAAGGTTAAGCCAGATCTGTGGGTAGAGAATACTCTAAAGAAAAACCATAATCTCAGTCAATGATCTTACTGAGATAAAAACTTAAGAGGCATGTCTATAACAGGAGCAGTGCCAGATGAAAATCTCACTCCTTTCAGGGACTTTCCTCTCCCATTGGGTATGTGTGCGCCCAGCCCAGACTAGTCTGGAAACACGATGCACCTCCACTGAAAGGAGCTGAGTCTCTATTAACTCATAGCAACAAAATAAATTTAGTATTTTACTAAAATACAACTGAAAGATGAATAAATTGAAGAGAATCAGAATAGAATAAGTGGGAAAACAAGATTATTAAAGCATAAGAAAAAAGGAGAGAGGCCAGATTTCTGAAAAACTACAGCAGCTATCAGAAGACAGCAAAGGTCTTGAGAAGCCTTGCAACTTCCACTTTCAGTGTTTTAAAGAAGATGGTTTGTAAAGAAGCCCAGACTAGATGAGTGACATGGAAAGAAAGGCTCTGCCCTTAGCCAGCACCAAGACCCAACATGGATGAGGCCATCTTGGACTACTAGCAACAGTAAAGTCATCAAATTAACTACAGCTGGATGAAGGAGTCCACACAAGATTAGCAGAAGAATTGCCCAGCCAAGTCTAGCCCAAATCACAAAAACTTTTTTTAATAGTTCTCACTTCAAGGAACGACTATAAAAAATACACAGGTGTACCACAGTTGTGCAGTAATGGAACAAAACAGTATGTTCTGGGTAAGTGTAAGATACTAAACACATCTGAACTGAACTATTAAACTTCAAAGACAGAATTCTTCCAGGACTCAGAATGAAAGTGAATTAAGGACTGATGTCAGTGAAAATGGAGAGGTAAGGAACTCCAAAAGCTCATTAGCCCAAAAAAGCCATGAAAAAAACTGGCAAATATTGTCAGAATCAACTTTTTCAGAACACTGGAAACTAACTAAAAGTCTGCAGCAACACAGGAGCACTCATACAAAACAGGTGAAACTCAGTGATTTTCCTGCACTGCCATTCACCTATTCTTGCCCCCGACTCCTCAGCTCAGTAATAGCCTTGAAAATAAGTCTGCATTCCAGGTACAGGTACAAGTAGCAGTAGAATAAATTTCACTTAAAATTTGCCTTATTTAATCTAGTTCCCTGGAATACCTGCTCAGAACACTTGTCTCTGCTTTTGCCTGACTAGAACTTGTCTTATGCTAAAGCTGCCACATGAAAAATGAATTCATCAAAATATTTATAGGCAAATGATTTAGCACGTGCTTACTAAAGCAACAGGTAACAGCTGAGACAGACAACAGGTTATCCAAAGAGACTGGAAGGAAAGGCTGGAGAATGAGATGTTTTTGAGGACTTTTGAACTTTCTCTTATTACATATTCCTGGGAATCTAAAGGGCCATGCTCATGCACAGAGCAGTGTACATGCTCAGGAAAGATATGAGAAGGGCCTAGCTGACAGTAAGGCATTGCACAAACAGAAAGTGAAGGCTAAGGCAGAGTTGTAAACTACCTGGCTGAGTATTGAAGTCATGTCCCAACATGCAACAGAATCCTTCTGCAAAAACTAGGAGATTTTTTGTTTCCATGAATTTAAGGAACTCTCTGTTCAATCATTGCTGACTACTGAACTAACAGAAGAGTTTGGCAAGGCCACAAATGGGAAGGAATACAGACTTTACAAAATTAGATCAGAAAAGTTACTAAACAATCCATAAATACATCAACCATCAACACTAACAAACCCTGGGAAGAGGGGAAAATCTGATTTCCACAGTTGTCACATTATAATATTCAAGATACCCAGTTTTCAACAAAAAAGGATAAGGCATATAGAAAGACAAGAAAATATGACCCATACACAGGAAATAAACAATCAATAGAGTCCCAGAAGAAGAAAGGGGCAGAACAAATATTTGAAAAAAATAATGGCCAAAAACTCCTCAAATTTGATGAAAAACATAACCTACATGTCCAAGAAGTTCAATGAACTCTAAGCAGGGATAAAATGAAAGACATCCACACCAAGATACATCATATTCAAACTGTTGAAAGAAAATGACAAAGAGGGAATCTTGAAAGCAGCCAAAGAGAAGTGACACATCATGAATAAGAGATCCTCCATAATATGAACACCTGATTTTCATCAGAAACCATGGAAGCCAGAAGGCAGTGGAAATAACATATTCAAACTGCTGAAACAAAACTACTGAAAGGATGAATTCCATATCCGGCAAAACTATCCATCAAAAATTAAGGAGAAATAAAGACATTTCCAGTTAAAATCTGAAAGAATTTGAAACCACCAGCCCTGACCAAAAAGAAATGCTAAAGAAAGTCTTTCAGGCTGAAATGAAAGAACACTAGATAGTAACTCAAATACACAGGAAGAAATAAAGAACACAGGCAAAGTAATTTACATAGGCAAATAAAAAAAAATTAATATTTTTGTTTCTAACTCCTTTTTTCCCCCTATCTGATTTAAAAGAACACTACATAAAGTAATAATTATAAATCTATGTTGATGGGTACAAAATGCATAAAGTTGTAATTTGTGAAAATGACACTATAAAGAGGAGGCAGAGCTATACAGGAGCATGGTTTTATGTAGTACTGAAATTAAGTTAGAATTAATCTTAACTAGATTGCTATAAAACTAAGATATTAATTGCAATCTTCAGGGTAACTACTAAGGAAAAAAGGGTAAAAGAAATGAGAAAGGATTTAAAATATATACTAGAAAATATCTATAGAAAACAAAAGGCAATAAAGGAAAAATTGAGGAACTAAAAAGATGTAAGATATGAGGAAAACAAATGGCAAAAAGGCAGAAATAAATCATTATCATGTTAGATGTAAATGTATCAAACTCTCCAATTAAAAGAGAGAGATTGGCATAAAACATTTAAAAAACATAATAAAAATATATGTTGTCCATAAGAGATACATTTTAGATTCAAAGCCACAAACAGGTTGGAAGTAAAAAGAAGGGAAAAAATAGTCTATACAAACTATAACCAAAACGGAGCTGGAGTTGGCTATACTATAATATCAAACAAAATAGACTTTAACAAAAATTTTTCCATGAAACAGAGGACATTATATAATGTTAAAAGGGTCAATACATCAAGGTTATATCATAATTATAAACATATGTTTACCTAGTATGCAAACTCTCAAATACCTGAGGCAAAAATTGACAGAAGAAAGAGCTTAGCAATGACAACTGGAGAGTTCAACAATCCACTCTCAATAATTGATATAAAAGTCAGACAATAATAAACAAGGAAATACAGATAGAAATAATACTATAATGCAACTGGACCTAACAATCATAGAACACACTTCACCTAACAACAGCAGAATACACCTTCTTCTAAAGTACACATGAAACATTCTCCAGTGTAGATCATATGTTAGGCAACAATCTTAAATGACTGAAATAATATTAAATATTTTCTCTGACCACCATGGAATGCAATTAGAAATGAATTAACAGAAGGAATTTTGGAAAATTCACAAATATGTGGAAGTTAAACAACATACCTAAACAACCCATGGGTCAAAGAAGAAATCATGAGGGAAATTAGAAAATACTTTGATATGAACAAAACTGAAAACTCAAAATGCCAACACTTATGGGGAGGAAGAAGAGTAGTGCTGAGGTACATTTATACCTAAAAGCACTTACATTGAAAAAGAATGATCTCCAATCAGTAACTTAGCTTTCCACCTTAAAAAAATAGAAAAAAAAATAGAGCAAGGTAAATCCAAAAGAAAAAAAATAATAAAGTAAGAGATAAATAAAGTATTGAGTAGAGAAACAGAGGAAAATCAATGAACCCAAAAGTTAGTTCTTTGAAAAGATAAAACAATAAAACTGGCAAACCTATAGCCAGACTGAGCAAGACAAAAAAGAGAAAAGATTCAAATTACCAAAATCAGGAATAAAAGTGGGAAGTTACTAACAACCTTTCAGAATTGAAAAGGATTACAATACTATGAAAAACTATATGCCGACTAATTGGATAACCAAGATGGAATGGGCAAATTCGTAGAAACACAAACTTCCAAACCTGACTCATGAGGAAATAGAAAATCTAAATAGATCTGTAACAAGTGAAGACACTGAGTCAATAATCAAAAAATTTCCAAAGAAAACCCCAGGACCAGATGGCTTCACTGAGATTTGTATCAAACATTTAAAGAATAAATACCAATCCTTCCTAAATTCTTCCAGTAAATAGAATAGAAAGAAACACATCCTAACTCATCCTGTGAGGCAAGTATTAACCTGATACCAAAGCAAGACAAAGAGATCAAAAGACAACTATAGGCCAAGTCCCTTAAGAATACAGAGTAAAAAATCTTCAACACATATTAGGAAACCAAATTTCTCAACACAATAAAAAGTTTATGCACCATGATCAAGTGGGATTTACCACAGGAATGCAAGTTGGTTCAATATATGAAAATCAATTAATGTAAATACTTTATTAACAAAGGAGAAAAAGATGCAGAAAAAGCATTTGAAAAAAAAATGTTTTCATAATAAAAAGACTCAAAAAACTAAAAATAGAAGGGGTCTTCTTCTGCACCATAAATGGCATGTATGAAAAATCCACAGCTAACATCATACTTACTGATAAAAGATTGTTTTCCCCTAAGATCAGAAAAAAGAAAAAGATGTCTTCTCTCACTATTTCTGTTCAACATAGTGCTGGAAATTCTAGCCAGTGCAATTAAACAAGAAGAAATAACAGGCACCCATATTGGAAAGGAAGAAGTAAAACTATCTTTTTTTACAAATAACAAGACATTATATAAAAAGTACCTTAGAGAATCTGCCTTAAAAAAAAAAACTTCTAATCTACTAGAGCTAATAAATGAGGTTTAGCAAATTTGCAGGAGATAAGATCAATTTATAAAAATCATTTGTATATGACAGCCCAACAATAAACAATTTGAAAATGAAATAAAAAAAAGAATTCTATTTACACTAAGATCAAAAAGAAAAAAAATCTTAGGACTAAACTCACCCAAGAAAGTGCAAAACTTGAACACTGAAAACTACAAAATATTCTTTAAAGAAATTAAAGGAGACCTAAATAAATAGAAAGACATCCCATGTTAATGGATTGGAAGACTTACTATTATTAAAATGGGAAAACTCCCCAAACTAATCTACAGATTTAATATAATCACTATCAAAATTCTAAAAGTCTTTTTGCAGAAATGGACAAGCTGATTCTAAAATTCTAAGAAATTCAAGGGCCCACAAACAGCCAAAATAAATCTTGAAGATTCACATTTTCCAATTCCAAAACGTACTACAAAGCTATAGTAATCAAAACAGTGTGGTACTGGAATAAGTATTGACATATCAACCAATGGAATAGAACTGAAAGTCCAGAAATAAACCCATACACCTATGGCCATTTATTTTCAACAGTGCCAAGACTATTCAATGGGGAAAGAATAGTCTTTTTAATAAATAGTGCTAGAACAACCAGATATTCACAAATAAAAGATTTTAGACCCCTACCTCACATCATACAAAAAATTTAAAACCAGAAGAAGATATAAATGTAAGAGCTAATCTTATAAAAACTATTACAAAGAAACAAAAATGTAAATCTCATGACTTGGATTAGGCAACAATTTCTTAAATTTGACATCAAAAGCACAAGCAATAAAGGAGGGAAAGAAAGAAAAGATAAATCGAAATTCATCAAAATTTAAATTTCTGTGGGTCAAAGAACACTAACAAAAAAGTAAAAAGAATAAGAAAATTTTCTTTCACAGAATGGGAGAAAATATTTACAAATCAAATAGTGTTCAGGATATATAAAGAACTTATAGTTCAACAGTCAAAAGAAAAAGCCAGTTAAAATATGGTCAAAGGACTTGAGTAGATATTTCTCTAAGGAAGATACACAAATGGCCAATAAGCACATGAGAAAATGGCCAACATTATTGTCATTAAGGAAATACAAATCCAGAGCACAATGGGATAACGCTTCCCATAAAGGACAGCCGAAATAAACAAACAGACAAAAAAAGTGTTGGCAAGGATGTGGAAATATTAGAACCCTCATACATTGCTGGTGGGAATATAAAATGGTGCAGCTGCTTTGGAAAACCACTTAGCAACTCCTCAAAAAGTTCATCACAGAGTTATCATATATCCTAGTAAATCCACTCATAAAGTATACACCTAAGAAATTGAAAACATATTAGTTGAATTGCATCCCCTCAGAATTTGTATGCTGAAGCCCTAACCCCCAGTACATCAGAATGTGGCTGTACTTGAAGTCAGGGCGTTTAAAGAGGTAATTAAGTTAAAATGACACCATCAGGTGGGTCCTAATCCAATCTGACTAGTGTCTTTGTAAAACAAGGACATTTGGATGCAGAGAAAGACAGATATCAAGGATCCATGCACACAGAGGACAGGCCATATGGTGAGGTGTCAAGTGCGTGGCCATCTGAAAGTCAAGGAGAAAGGCCTTAGAGGAAAACACCCTATGGGCACCTTCATCTTAGACTTCAGTCTCTAGAACTGTGAGAAAATAAATTTCTGTTGTTTAAGCCATCCAGTCTGTGATATTGTTATGATAGCCATGGAAAGCTAAAATGCATATGTTTACACAAAAACTTTTACAAAAATGTTCGTAACAGCGTTATTCACAACAGCAAAAAGTAGAAATATCCCAAATGTCCGTCAACAGATAAACAGATGAACAAAATTTGGTCTATCCATATAATGGTATATTATTTACCCAGAAAAGGGAAGAAGTACTGATAAATTCTACAACACAGATTAACCTTGAAAACATGAGTAAAAGAAGTCTGACACAAAGATCTATTTATATGATGTCATATGATATATATTATATGATTCCATTTATATGAAATGCCCAGAATAGGCAGTCTAGGGATGGAGAGTAAATTAGTGGTTTCTAGAGAATGAAGGGAGGGAGGAATGCAGAAAGGCATCTAATTGGCATAGAATTTATTTTGGGGATGACAGAATGTTCTGGAATCAAATGGTGATGGTTGCATAGCTTTGTGAATATATTAAAACCACTAAACTACACACTTTAATATGGTTTAAGTTGTGATTTTTGTGAATTTTATCACAATAAAAATACCTAAAATAAAAAATCGATTATGAGAGAGGAAAATCAGGTTGGCCTCAGACTTTTGCACAGCAACACTTGCCCTTAACTTTTTAGTCTGAAAGCATAAATCTACAGAAAAACTGAAAGAATCTATAATAAATAACCATATCCCTTCACTGGACTTACCAACCTAGATAAGTATACGTTTACTTGCCTTTTTTTTATGTGGTTGTTTTTTTAGTTTTTCAAATAAGTTACAGAAGACGTATTACATTTCACTTCAACATGTTCTACTACAAACAAAAACACTCTCCTACAAACTATAGTATTATGCTCACACCCAAGTAATTTGACACTGATAAAAAAATTATTAAATGCAAAAACCCATATTCAAATTTCCCCAATTTGAATAATTCCAATAACAACTTTAAAGCTTTTTTTCTTTAAATCCATGATCTAGTGAAAGATCATACATTGCATTATTTATCAGATCTTTTTAGTCTCCTTTAACACAGAATAGTTCCTTCTGTTTTGCATGATACTAAGATTTTTGAAGAGTCTAATGACAGATTAGAATGTCAATGTCATAAATATACTATAATAATATAAATAACAAAAATTGGTAGGTAGGAGCAGGGGAGATGGAGGAAGTGTGGGATTGTTAATGTATTTATCTTTCATAGGAGGGAGTCATTATTAATGTTACAATTAAAGTATATAGAATTTTTAAGAAAATAATGAATTGAGTCCCTTAATTTTTAATAACCTTAGAGAAGTCTTTTAAGAAATATTATTTAAGGAAAAGAACATTTACTTAAATTCCTTCTATTTTAATTGTTTCTTTTTCAAACTAAATTACTGCATATTTTTAAAATACACTGATAATGAGAGTTTTTTATTCAAATGTCTGCATTTCTTTTCAGGAAAAAGTATAGTGAAAATCAATGAAACATACCTGATTCATACAACTCTTCTTCCATTGATAGCCCAATTTCTCACAAGTCTCTTTCAGGCACTGATAAGATTTGTCTGCATCCAATTTGGTAAAAAATCGTGTCATTCTTTTGACCAAGCGCTGCCAGGGGTTCTACATCAAACAGAGGAAAGCTGAATAAGTATGACATCACCCAAAGCAGTCATACCATAGCTATTTAGTTTGAAAATTATTTCCTGTGACCTATGATTCTTATACATGAATGTCTCCTTGAATTCTCTCTTGTCAAAAAAAAAAATCCCTATAAAGTGTTAATAATGTATTTCTAACATTTTACATTTAATAAATAAAAGACATAAAGACAAAAAATAAAGGGCTTCCATTATGTATTTGAAATACTAAATTCCCTTACCTGTGAGGATCCTGGGGTGCCAAGTAACTGACTATTCAGAAGCATATGATCAGGACATGTGGGCTGGGAGAAACTGATTCCTTGTACCAGTTTATCAATGTACGAAGGGCTGGTGTCCCATAAGGAAAGACCTGTCCGTGGTTCTGGCTGGGAACTGGAGTACTTCACATTTTCTTCACTGAGGCATACAGGGCAAAATATGTTTTTAAATAAAACCCATCAGGCCTTTCTTGTAAAATAATTACCATTCCCACACTGATAGAAATTACCTTCATTAATAAGAAAAAATCTATACATGTATTATTTTTCATTGGGAATATACATTCAACTACTTGGTCTTTATTAATTCATCTTACCTAGAAGTACTGTTTACTGGAGAGAAGTCCAAATTTGATTGAATATGTTTAGAGAATCCACCAGGAGACTCTGAAACACCACCTGAAGTGACTCGGGGCCTCTTTGTCCCTAAAAAAGAAAACATAAATACAAATGCTTTTAAGTCTTCCATGCAGTCATTTTTTAATTAAGCCAACTGGCAACTTGAAGAAGTAAAACCGTATCTAAATCCATTTGTGTCTAAATCCATGACAAACAGTGGTTCTTCTTACATGATTTTACAAGAACTGTGGTCATTATGAACTTATCGGGACTCACTTGTCAAATTACACATTTCACAAATTCTGACCTGTAACTAACTATGTTCCAAGTGTGGGGTATCATATTAAGGTCATAATTTTAATGGTACCATTTGTTCTATGAAGGCAGAGAGACCTTGTTAAGGGGTCAAAACTTTTTAAAATAAAAAATAATTTAAAACAAAAAATAAACAAACAGAAACAGAATCATAAATACAGAGAACTGGTGGCTACCATAGGAGAAGGAAGTGAGAGGATAAACTAAATAGGTGAAGGGGGATCAAGAGGTACAAACTTCCAGTTACAAAACAAGTCAGGGCGATGAAAGTACGGTATACGGAATATAGTTGTTAATACTTTAATAACTTTGTATGGTGACAGATGGTAATTACACTTATCGTAGTGAACATTTCATCATGTATGTAACTGTCGAATCACTATCCTGTACACCTGAAACTAAAATAATATTGTATGTCAATTATACTTAATAAAAACAAAACTTATAATGACAATGAATGAATGTCATTATCATGACAGAACAGTATGAATCTGCTCTATTCTTTCTTTGCTCTACCAAGAATAATCATTACATAGAAAATGATGCCATTATAAATTTCTGGTTACTATTATAAATTCCTGGTCCTAAGTTCTCTAGGCAGTTTCTTTTCCCTTTTTCCACAATGATTGTTTCAAAGCTTTTTCCTGCATTTTTGTCAAATTCCTAAAACCATCCTCCAGCACCATGCTATGTAGTTTATGACACCATCTTCCCATTTCACAAAGAAAATAGTCATTAGAAACTCTCAAGTTGCTGCTACCAAATCTGCCTATTTACTTCCCTTCTTACCAATCCTCTTCTCCCTTCTATCCTCCGATCAAATGTTTATCCCCATATTTGTACTTGAGCCCATTCCTTCCTATAACCTCAGAGATCTTGATGCTCTTTTATTCTCTCTCCTAGACTTTCAGCCCTATCTTCTCAACTGGATCTATCCTGAAACCATTTAAACATGTTTCAGTTTAGCCAACTTCTTTATTAATCCACTCATTCAAACATTTCATTAAACCTACTATGTATCAAGTAGAAAGTGGGAGAAAGATCCAGTGAGAGGGAAAACTTCAATGATGCAGTAAGAGAGAACTGCTGGACAGTGTCCCTGAATAGGCAGAAGAGAGCTGGGAGTAGTGCACAAGAGAAAGTGTTGGCTTATCTGCAGCAATTTAGCCATAGCTATAGGGGAGGAAGCACAGTATCTGAGCAGAGACTGTTAAGTCAGGCGGATGGAGGTAGTGGTGGGGAATTGTAGAAATTCCCTTGCAATTGCTTGTATTTCCCAGTGAGTAGGAAATACTGTCACCAACAGAGAGTGAGGATGGGGAAGGAGGAATTAGAAGCTGTAGAGCAAAGAAAAGGTATAAAAATCTGATTAGGAGAGTCGGTTTGTGAAAGAAATGGGGAAATGCATGATGACTGCCTGCCCACTTGAGATTAGTGATCCTGAATTTAGAGAGAAATCAGTTGTGTATTTTTCTGAAGCTGCACTCAGCTATGCAGGTATAAGTGTAGAGTAGGTAGAAAACTGGATTAAACTTGGATTACATTTTGACCAGTAAGTATGATGAAGAGAGAATGGAGCAAAACATTTGAAGATGATATAAAGAGGTCATTATAATGACTGACTTTTGATTTAAAATAGTGAGGATGGAACTGAGGACTTAGGGAGGGGATACATAAGACACAGTGGAAAGGTAGAATTAAAGGATTGCAAAGTCCAGGTAGGGTCAAAGGATTGTTGGAGTAAGGGTACTAGAGGAGGAAGCCAGGGAAAAATATTCTGGTGGTTAGAGCAAGATGCTTGAAGATCACTAGAGAAGGTCTAGGAAATGAGGTCGGGCTATTATTGAAAGGATCATCCAAATGAATATTACATCACCAGGAACCATGACAAAAATATATCAAAAGTCATGTTGGAGAGAGTGACAATGTAGCAGGAAATTCTAATTTGGGGTTCAGAAGTTGATTACAACAGGGAGGGAACAGTGGGTAGCATAGTCTGATAACATGAGATTCAAAAGGAATCTCTCACCAACGTCTCTTTTAGACTATAACCTCTCTACTCTAGAATTGCCTCTTAGCTCTTCACCAAAACTTCCTGCCATGATTAACTGCTCTTTCATGGGACCCATTGGACAAATTTTTAGCTTTCACATTATTAATTCACTTAATGGTATCTGCCACTATCATGCATTTTTTTTCTTTGCCTCAATTACTCCCCATTTTCCTGATATTTCTCCCAACTCTCTGGCTACTTTTCTCTACTTCCATCCTCCACCCACCACTCCAGTGTTGGTACTCCTTAAAATTTCATATATTCAATCTCGTCTACCACCATAGCTTAAACTACCATCTATTTGCAGAAAACATCTACATGGACATCGCAAACCTAGTTCAGTCTCCTGAGTCACACACACATGCCCCTCTGAGGTAGTTTTACTTCTCAAATTCAACAGGTCCAAAATCACAAAAAATTCCCGCCCAAATCTGTACTTCCCCTGAGTTACATCCCAGTCTAGAGTGTCACTATTTACACAGCTGCTCAAACCAGAAAGGAATCATCCTTGATTCTTCATTCTCCTTCTTTTTCCACATATAAACAATCGCCAGCCTTATCGATTCTAGTTCTTAAACTTCTTTGGAATATATCTCTTCTTTGTAATCCCATTGTCATTAACCTAGTCTAATAAGCTACCATCTTCTCAGAGGTAGGATCAAAAATATTAAAAACAATTTTTAAAAAGTAGCCTTTTAAAAACAAATGTATGATCATGTCATTTCCTCACTTAAAATCTCTCAGTTTTCCCCAATGGCTTTTAGTTAAAGTCTAAACTCTTTAATGTGGCTTACAAGGTCCTCCTTCACAACTTGTTCACTATCTGCCTTTCCAGCCTCATGTCAAGCCTCTCTCCCTCTCCTCCCTTCTCTATTCTCTAATTTACTCAACAAACATTTTTTGAGCGCCTGTAATGTACCACACACTGTGCTAACCATTGGTGATACAAAGATGAACAAGCCAGACACGGCCCATGCCACACTGGCCTTGCAAGTTCCTCAATGCACTGCTTTCTGAATTAAAACACATCCCAAATGCTGCTTCCTCCGTTCAGAATCTGCTACCCATCTGGCTAGTATCTACCTGGCTAGGTCCCCTTTAATCTTCATATCTTAGATTTAACATGAATCCCTCAGGACAATAAGTTTTCTCTGTCACTTAAGATGTGGTCTTAGTTATACACTTGGTTATATATCCTGACTTTTCACTTTATAATTTACAATAAACTTAGTTAGTTTTTCTTTCTGTTTTTCCTACTAGCCATCATAATTTCTATGAGAACAGAGACCACAACTACTTTGTGTTGTTGACTTGTGATTCTGACTTTGCAAGTCCCTTTCTTCTCACAGAAAAAATACTCATATTTTAAGGATATTACCTTTCTTGAGTGGTTTGTTGTACCATCTATCTTTATTGATGTCTGGGATGGTAATCCTTACTGATGGATTCTCAACTAGGATTTTATGCAGCAGAGCTAAAAATAAAATATTAAGACAACATTCACAAAAGAGTCATGAAGATTAGAAAGGCCTATAGCTGATATGGAACACATTTTCTACAGGCCTCCTTAAATCCAAATATTATTTCTGGGGAAGAGAAAGAATAAAGATATTAAATTATTGTTTTAATTTCATGCAGCTGTTCTTTGCTAATGTCCATATTCCTCCCAGATCTGATGGCCAGTTGTTTGCAAATAAATGGAACAAATAACAGGTAGAAATGTTTCTCCCCATGTGACCTTAATAAAAAAATACAAAAAATAGTCTTATCCATTTTCAATACCAAACTTCATGTCCTGTTAAGCTCTCATCCATACAATTTAGTGAGAAAAATTTACTTTCCAATAACTTTTTAAAAGACAGTAATATAAGCAACAATCATCCTAAAATGCTTTAATTAACTTGATAAAAAATTCATCTCCCAACACTAAAATCATTTTCTAATGGACCAAATAGTTAAATGAAAACATGAACCCATAAAAACATAAATGAAAACAGGGAACTTTTTCTAATATCAAGAGTAGAAAAGACCTTTTCAAACGTAACAATAGTCAGAAACCACAAAGGACAAGATAATAGATTCAAGTCAATAAAAACATAAATATTCTTCATATCAAAACAGCATAAGTAAAATAAAAATATATGAATTATAAAAAATATTTGAATACAAAAATCTAATGATATCAATACATTCAAAACAAAAACAAAAACCATCATACTAAGTAATAAGAGAACCTTTCTGTCTGTCCAAAATGAGCAAAACAGACAATCCACAAAAACAGACAAAAAGCTAATATGTAATGGATATGTAACCTCCTTGGTAATAAATTTAAAGTAACAGGGAACAGTTAATGTATTTTTACAGGCTTGTAAAATTAGTCAAATATATATTTTTTAATATAAACTAATGAGATTGTGATGAAATTATATGAACTTTCTGGAAAGCAATTTGACAAAGTCAATCGTGATAATTATAAACTACATAAATCCTTGGCACTTTTGGGTATTTTTTTAAATTAAAGAATTTAAAGGTGTTTGTATTATATGATCATCTTATCTCTTTCATAAGAATGAACCATTACAAAAAAAATATGAATCTCTATAAAGGTGATTGGATGAGCATAGTTAAGATCTATCCACATAGCAGAATGCCATCACAGCCTTTAGAAACACTGATGGAGACCTATGACGACGACATGGAAAAACATCCACACATTAACACAACACAAAAAAGGTTATAAAATAACATCTGTAGTGTGATCTCATTTTCTGTAAAAAAAAACCCCACATACTTATAAATAATATGCATATATGACAAATATATATTTTTAGAACAAAGTATAGAAGCACATTATCAAAATGTTAAAAGAAGCTATTTCTGAGTGCTGGGATTACAGAGTTGGTTGTTAAAATTTTTTTTATTTGTTACTTTCTAATTAAGGATCATGGATTACTTACATGATTAGTTAGAATTTAAAAAAGAAAAAATTCAAATAGCACTAGACTTAATTATATAAGAAATTAGTATTTTCAATTAAGATAATCCAGTTACCTAGAGGAGCAGAATCTATTTTCTTCCAAGGGTTGAGGTATGTTTTTTTTTCTTTCCAATCAGAATATTCCTGACAACTGTCACTGGGCTGGTCCCACGGCAACTCTAAAAAAGAAACAAATCCCACATTTCTGAAGAATTCACATCATTATACAGTAAAGTTGTAAGGGAAAATAACCAGTGTTACAAATCCATTAAAAGTTTTCTTCAATTCAATGTTTCTCAAACTAAGAATGCCCACCCACAGACATTTCTACGGTACTTCAAAGATGGATGAACCACTTCCCACCCTACTTTTTCCAAAAGTATTCACATGAATTTTAAAACAGATAGCTACTCATTTTTAAAAACTTTGGGGATTAAAAATTCTGACTTAGTTATAAAATACTATCATATAAATATGGATTCCCTTGGTTTATTTCAGTTATTTTGGCATAACAAATCTGGTTTTCCACAGGACAGGAGTTTTACCATGATTAAATTGGTCTTACCTCCAGCCAGCATTGCAGTAAGTACTATTCCACAGGACCAAACATCAACCGGTTCTGCATGAAATTCTTTTCTCTTTAGAAGTTCCGGAGCAACATAAGGTAAAGTACCACACATCTTGTTCAATAAACGCTCACGACTATTATGCCGAAACACTGTTGCCAAGCCAAAGTCAGAGATTTTGAGGTTATCTAAATCAAAGGAAGAAAGGATGGCACTGGATAAAAATGTTTTATAAACAGATATATTTGAAAGAATTAAGTTTCATTGGAAAATTACTGTTATTACTTAAGGTTTATAGAACTTCCCTACTTTATAATGATCAAAAAGAAAGAAAAGATATCATCATCTAGCTAAAAGTAGAAAAAGGCTCATTGCTTCTAGTAACTTAAGAGAAATACATCAATACACAAAACAGTTTCGACCAGGTTAAAGAAAGATATTGGAGTCACAAAGTGGGTTGCCCTTCTGGAAAAGGGCTGAAAGCAGCCAAGCCCTTCACTGGGTTTGCAGAGGGCAAGTAGGAGACATCAGTAATACATTAGGCACAACTTCTTCAGCAGCAAACAAACCCAGTTGGCAGGAAGACATGTAGATACACCAAAACTAAAGATCCCCAAATCACTGGAACTTTTTGTCAAAGTGGCTGAGTGCAGAAAAGGAGAACTTCACACAAAACACAAACTAGAAGAGCAAATTTCCACTCTACCTTCCCATATTCAACAGACACAAACTGAAGGCAGAAGTTTCAACTTAATGTTTGTGAATATCTACTATAAAGAGACACTGTGCTAGTCCATGCTTGTAAATAAATTACTGAAGACGACCAACAACAGATAACTGTTGTGAAGGTTATGAAAATATAGAACATTACAAGACTTTAAAGCAGGGGAATCTAACCTAATCTTAGGAGTGAGGGAAGACCTCATATTATCAAGGTATTAACTGGTACAACATTTTTAGAGGGCAATCTAGTAAAAGATGTCAAAATTTGAAATATTCATATTCCTTGAACTAGCAATTGCCTTTCTAGGGCCATATCCACAGAAATACTCCCCAAAATTCACAAACATAGGATATTCAAAGTAATATTATTTGCAAATAGCTTAAATGTCCATCAATAAAGAAATGATAAAATCTTTTAATACATGCATACAAAGAAAAGAGTTGTTAAAAAAAAGGTATATCTACATGTACTGACACGGAATAGGGTACATATGGAAAGAAAAAGTAAAAAGAAAGTGCAATAACAAATATTTGCTATCAACATGATACAGTTTTTATATTGTGCCTGTATAGAAATTTATAGAACAGCCTTTTTTTTTCTTTTCTTTTCTATTTTTTCTTAAGCTAGAAACAATTTAAACGTCCCAAAGTAGGGGACTGATTCTCTAAAAATCAAGTACATAGTACATCCACACCACATAATATGTAAGCCATTGATGATGTTTACCTGTATTTGACTTGGAAGGTAGCTAAAAGGTAATTTTCCTTTTAACAGCTACATATATTATATGACACAATTTTGACAAACCACTGAGATTAAGAGTTCCAAGATACTTATAAGTAGCAATCATTGAACATACTAAGGGATATCCCTAGTATGCCTTGGACTTTGTTGTTTCATTATGTCTGCAATATTAATACTCAGGCTAGACAACTGCAAATAATAAATGCTAAATTGAGGAGAGTGGTTACTTCTGAGATAAAAAAAGAATTCATTTGTGAAGAAGGACACAAGAGGATTTTGATTATACTGGTATTTTTTTTCTTTTTTAAAAAGATGACTATTAAATATTGAATAGGAACAAGAGTATTTACATAATGTGTAGGATATAACGAACAATGTAATGAACATCTACTCACCCAACACCCAGTTTAAGAACATTCTATTTCCTTTGAAATCCCCGGTAAATACTCCCCCAAATATATTCCTTTCCCTACCTTCTCAGAACTAATAACCATCATTCTGATTTTTGTTCTACTATGCCCTTTCTTTTGTGATTTTTTCCCCATGTTTGTATCTCAAAATCATATATTTTTACATATTTTTGAACTTGACCTAAATAGAATCATACTTTTTTCCCATACACCAAATTTTCTGAGTATCTAAAATTTTGCTATGTTACTTATGAAACATTTTGCAGAAGGCTAAAATAACCAAGAGGGAGCTTGTGTAGCTAGGTTAGTATGTGGGTTAATAAAAGGGTAACTGAAAGATATTCACCAAAACATTAACAGTGGTTATAACCTGATTAGTGGATTTCTCGTGATTTTTTTTACTTTCTTCTTTTTACTTTTGATCTTACTTTATGATTATCTTTATAAAGAGAAAATTACAGTATTTTTAGTTTGAGAACAAAGTTTTCATATTCCAGATATTATTACATATTCACATCTCCATTATTTATTATATAAATTGGCTTTTCTTAATTTATTCCTTTGCATGAAGTTCAATTATAGATTTCAGATTGGGAGGCTGATAAGTACACTGTTACTTGTCATGGTAACTAACATCTTTCTATCTTGTCAGACAGTAACAACACTAGCTGGGGGGAGGATTTAGTAGTGTATATAACTGTTGAATCACTATGTTGTATACTTGAAACCAATGTAATGTTGTTTATCAACTATACTTCAATAAAAAAAAATATCAACAACAAAAAAATTAAATTAAAAAAAAGAATACTGCCGGAATCTCTAAATCTCAGAGCTGGACAAGATCTTAAAAGGACTTTGGTCTAACTAGCCAAGCAAGCAATGTTTAAATTCCCTTATAATATCCTTGATAATTAGTAATCCAGTGTTTGACTCTCATCTTACAAATCTACTACATTCCAAAGCAACTATTCAGTTCTTGGACAGATCCATCATTGGGGGGTCATCCTTGTACTAATTCAATTTGCTTTCATATAGTTTCCACCCACATACTTGGAAGGACTGTATTTAACAATAAGCAAGATTTGCCTGAGTTTCTTCAATTATTCCTTATTTTACATAGTTTGTAGCCCTTGGATCATTCTAGTCACTCTCCTATAAAAGTAGTTCAGTGATCTACACGCCTTTTGCAGTATTATCCCAGGACACCCATTATTTCCAGTGTGGGCTCATCAAAGTAGTGCAGAACTACTACCTTCCTCATTCTCAAAAACATCACCGCAGTTTTCTAATGACCAAATCATGTAGGTGATGAATATGAAGTTTGCTGCCTAGAAAATTTTTTTAACCTGCTCTGCTGCCAAAGATACGCTACTCAACTGTATTTATTTGGTTAGTTTTTTACTCTAAATACTAGACTTTAGATTTTCCCCTGTTGGGAAACAACTTTAAATCTGACCCACTCCTCATTCATTGAATAAATATTTTTGAAAGCCTAACATATGCCAGGCACTATTCTAATGCATTAAATAAAACAGAAAAAAACCACTGCCTCATTCAACTGACATTTGTCATCTTTTTTGATTCTGATTCTATAAGCTAATACTTGCACTATGCATCCCTCTCGGTTTTTATGACATTCATAAAATAGGACTAAACTCCTTGAATCTTCATTCAAGTCACAGATTAAACAGAACAGGACAAGGCTAAGGTCTAGGGTATGCCAACAGAAACTTTCCTTTATTAATTCGTTAAAGAGTTGTTTAAGACTGTATAGTTATTCATCCAGTGAGTTATCCCTGTATCTATGTCAGATTTCTCTATCTTTTCCACAACTATCTTATGAAGGATGTGTGAAGCCCAAGTATACTGAGTCTCCTAAATTTTATAGACTTTCCACATTTTTTACCCTTAAATTTCAGTAATGCCAAAACTTTGATCATGCCTTACATGGCTGTTTTAAAATGCTTTACATAGCAGTGACAAATGCTAAACTTACCCCTTTCATCTAGTAGTAGATTTTCGGGCTTAATGTCTCTATGAGTTATTCCAATACCATGCAGATAAACCTAAAAGGGACGCATACCAAAATGTGTTAATTTACTGCATTCATATTAATGTTAAGTAAAAGCAAAAGAAACAACAGTACCTACCACCCCTGCCATCAGTTGATGGAAGAATCTCTGGGCATCTTGTTCAGGCATGCCGACATCTGGCTCTGCAAGAATTAATAATGAAAATTAGTTTACCAGGTAAATATAATCAGGTATCAAATACCTCGTCTCCTAATTCTAAGGTTCGATATTTGTCATTATACTTCAGCAAGCATAATCTTATGCTGACAACTAAGACTCTGGAGTCCATAACTCATAGAGTCCCTAATAACTCAACATTTCCCCATCTGTTACATGGTGAAACAAATGACAATTATAGGAAAATGACAGAAATAACAAACTATCATCCAAATCAAGAATGCAAGCCATACTTTGAAAGCCCTTGCTTATGTTATACCGATCAAGAGTTATTTGATATCTTTCAAATTTCCCCTTATTTCTTCTAACGCTATGACAGTATTTTCCCACCCTCTGAAAAGCGACTGCCAAAGTATAAGCCTGGGCAAATCTAAACTAATTTCACTAAATATTTAACAACAGATTTAAATTTCACAAAATCTCTCACACTACAAAGCCATGAATACTTGTGAAGTTCCTTCAGGAAAAACAATTTCATTTAAAAAGTGTTCTATTATCAGTTATCTTTTTATATTTTGATCTCCTTCATTACCTCTTGATTTCTTTTACACTCAACTCTCTTCTGAGTTACACAGTGGAGAGTTTAATAATCAGGTTTAACTGTTAATAATAGCTTTAAATAACACATAGATCCACAGAATATATTTTATGTACTTCTTGATGTTCTATAATATCAAGACTTTTAATCTACATAGAACATTTATGTAGCAAACAGATTTTACTTAACATATATAAACCAATCCTAGAAAATTCTTATTTCACTTAAACAAATAAAGAAAAATGTAACAACATGCTATTATTTTCAATCTGTAAATGTATGCAATGATTTCATGTAACTAGAATGTCTACAAAGAAAACAACTGCACAAAGAATACATTGCACTTGTGATATTTCATCATGAAATTACTTTGTCATTCTCAAACGCTACAAAACAGCAATTCCAACCAAAATCACATATACAACTTGGGAAAAATGTTTTCTCTGATGACTATATATGTTTTCATGGTTTAACATAAGTTGCAAAAGCAAAATTTTTACTCTAGTTTCACTGTTTATACGCAATTGTGAATGGACAATGACCAAATGGCAGGCATAAGACTTAAAAACAAATTTAGAAACTTGTTTAATAGAATAATTGTCTTAAATCTTTTCCATACCTATTCTATCAAAAAGTTCTCCCCCACTACAGTACTCCAGAAATAGATACTGGATATTGCCTTCCCTCCTGTGACCATAAAATTTCACTACATTTTCATGATTTAACATTTTGTTGATACAGATCTCTTTCTTAATATTTTCTGGACAATCTATGGCACGCTTCATGTCTACAATCTTCACTGCAACAGCTTCTTCAGTTCTTCTATTCACAGCAAGTTGAACTCTGGAAAGGAAAAGGAAGACATCTGAATTCTACTTCTTTTAAAACTTCTAAAGATTAAACATGACTTACCCAACAATTCTGTCTTTATTACTTTCTCCACCAAGGAGATACAAAGGATAGGGTTTCTCCCTGTTCTCAACAGTTACTACTCCTTTCTGAAATGTTAAGTGTGACAGCTAATGCTCCAAAGAGATCCTTATTCTGTACATTCAACAGTCATTTAATAAACACTTGATAAAATAAACTAAAATGTGATAATAGCAATTCTAGGCCACATCACAAATACATATGCTCTATTTATTCAATTTTAGTAACATTAACTAACATTTATTAATCCGATACTATGTATGCCTATGGTAACTGTTCTAAAGCTCCTATGGGGTAGATACTATTATTGCCAACTTACAGGGGAAAGAAACAAAAAGGTACATATTAGAAAGCTTGCATAAGAACACGATACCAATAACCAGTATGTGAAAGAGTGAGGATCTGAAATCAGGCAGTCTGACTCTAGTCTGTTCATTTGCTCATTTAACCACTATGGTTAAACCCCAGGAATAAATATGTAGCAGGAGAAACTGACTTTAGAGGTCTCTTCCAGGTCTTTACAAAGAAAATGTAAAAAAAAAAAAAAAGAAAAAAAACCCTAATTCTTACAAAAGACTGTGTAGCTTCAATTCAGTTCCCCAAAGCCTTAGATTTCAAATGCAAAGATCTGTTCTGCGGTACCACTGTATTAGAATAAACAACTCCAAAAGAATGTATATGTACTCAAGACAACATACAGAAAACCAAAGCAAGTGTGAAGGCAGGGCAAAAAAGATTCAAACTCACTCTCCATAGGCTCCTTCTCCCAGGGTTTGCACCAAGTCCCAGTCTTCCACAAAGGGCACTGCCATGACTCCACCATGTGCCCACGCTGTAAAAGGCAGGGCAGGAAAGATGGGGCATGAGTACAAGCTTCAATTGTCTGTAAAGCCACTGAGCTCTGCCTTTTGCTATGATTCCTTAATATAAATAACAGCTCTTGGTTCCCCCTCCACCTCATCGTAACATTTTATCCAAGTCTTTAAACCACAAGCGAGTATCCTAAATTCTGGCGTTTTGTTATGTAAATCACAACGCCCTTCCCCACCCACACCAAAGGATGAAGCTCTGCCTTCCTCCGGCCTCAAGAGGAAATTTAGTAGTTGTGTTGAGGAGATGGGGACAAAAGCTGGATGAATGGGGAAATGGGGAGGTGGGTGAGGGTTCGGGTCAGAGCAGCGGCATGCGGGCTGGCGGAGGCGGAGGGGGAGGGGGACCCTAACGACGACCACGTGCAGCCCCTCCTTCCCACCCGCTCGGTTCCAATTCCCACCCCGCCGCCGTCCCGGAGGCCGGGAGGAGCGTGGGGCGGGGCCAAACTGCCCCAAACTGCGGAAGGAAGGGCTGGCTGGCACAGCCTTGGGGTTCCCAGCCAGCAGAGGGTAGTCTCCCCACGCCCTCGACAACGGGGACCCCCAGGAACCCCACTCTTCCACTCCCCGAGACCGTCCTTCCGCGGGAGTCTTTCCGACCGCCCTCGCTCGTCCCCGATGTTTCCCTCGCCGTGCGCCTCCTAGCTAACGTAGACCCCCGACTCTTCTCCGGACTCCTTTCCTACCTAACCAGCCTCCGCTTCTCACCAGTCCGTCCTTTGCGCGCCACCACAGGAATCCAAGTGCAGCGCTTTTCCCGCCAAAACCTGCCGGCGCCACAGCGTCGCAAGCGCGCGCGCCCTTGCCGTAAAGCAGGCGAGCGCGCGCTCCCGTGTCCCGCAGCTCCAAAGGTTGGCCGCTCGAGGTGGCCGGCGCTGAGATTTCGGAGCCGGGGGAGGATGCTGGCTGGAGAGAGAGTAGAGCTGCAGACCGCATCAGTGCGAATGATCTCCGGGCCCAAACGCGAAATGCTGGCGGCGGTGTGACCCCAAGCCGGCGGTCCTAGCGCTCCTGTGCGGGGCCGAAGCCCGCGGAGACCAGCCGGCGCACCGGGCGGCGTGGGCCTCGCCTTCGCTCCCTGGGGCTCTGGACCTGGAGGCACTGGACGGACGGATGCCTGCGTACACCGACCCGCCCGCCACCTCTGAGCACCCTGCCCAGACAGCACTGTGACGATCGTGTTTAAAAAAGCTGTCCCTGAAACTACAGTGCCTCGTGAGCCGCAAAGCTGAGGAGTGGAGGGAACTTGGTGGTGTAAGGGAGAAGCATCAAAAAAAACTGACCACACAATAATGTGTGGTACTCTTGTAGTGTGAGGTCATGTCAGGATAACCCATTTTGCCTTGTCTGAACAGGCTGCAAAACAATGCCTTCGCCCAACCTTGTTGAAGGAAGAGCAACTGCATAGCGTGGTTCTCTACCAGTATTCTCAAAGTATAAGAAACGGGGGTAGAAGAAAAAAGGCCGTTCAGCCTCGTTTTACAGTGCAAATTTTAAAAGAGAGTAACTATTTAAAAGAGAAAAAATAACTTGAGGAAAAGGACTTGCTTGGGAACAATGTGGAAAGCCTGAATAGGGATTCCCCCTTGACAGTAAACTAGACTGGGAACTCAGGGCACAGGCAAGGACACCTCTATTCAATTTTTCAGTTCTTAGAACTGGGCCACATATATTGAGCATAACCATCTCTTGATTGTGATGATGGTAACAGAGTAAAATATATTACGTAAAAACACACACATCTGATTTAAAGCAGCAGAGTCGGACAAAAAGCAAGACCAGAACACTTCAAAATGCTTATTTGAGAAGCTTTTAACCATGACATCACAGTTTTGGCATCAGGTAATAAAGTTAAGTTTTCTAGGTGATTGAGTTCTCTCTATTTTCCACGTTGTGTGCTGCAAATGAAGAATATGAAGAAAGGAAGAGGAGGGCCTGTACAGTTCCTATGTGTCTTAGCCCAAGAAAAAATACGGCATAGAAATTTCAGGCACAATACCAGTTAAAAATAGCATATGGGAGAATGGATGCACACCAAAGCCTCGGTTCCCTTTGAAACCTCAGTAAAATAAATTTTAATAGTAAATGCTTTAGAATTTTATTATTAAAATTACTTTAAAATAGTAAATTTTTAAAAGGCAATAATCCACAAGAATAGACTATGAGAAAGAAAATTTTGAAAAGTGAAGTCTTTACATGAAAGGTAACTTAGACAAAAGAAAAAGAAAAATGAATCCTAAAAGCCAGTAATGGGAAAGCAGAAAAACAACTCAACTTTCATCACAAAACTCCCCACAGACTCATGCTGAATTAATGACACCAGGTAACTGAAGGTGAAGGCGGGGCTAAAAAGAGAGTAGGTTGCACCTAGGTAAGAAGCAAATGTACACTTGGATCCCCTCCCTCTTCTGTCTCCCCAGGGTACTGCCCTTCCCCAAATCTGGTCCAAGACTTAAGAGAGTGAAAACTGGACAGCATCAGGCACAGTTAAGGCTTGGGAACCTTACTGAAAAGAGGACTAAATCTGCACTGAAAAATTGAACCTGTAGGCCTTTCCCCCCCACTTTATGCCCAGAAATCTGGCAGGCTGGCTTGAATACTTGAGGATATACAAGGCTTTGTGAGGGAATCTTCTCATATAAAAGACCTAAAGATAACAGTATCAGAGATTTCCTAATGTAACAACTTAAGCAGATCACAGGACAATGATGCCCCACCATACCCTAAACAGACCTTCCTATCAGCTTTTTAGGGTCCCACTCTTTAAAAAGAGCAGACAACCAAGAATTTGACAAGGCCTTTAATATGAAAGTTGTGAAAACAAAGGAATATTTTTTCAAAGCTCAAGGACAACAAAAAATACGACAGCAGGAAAAAAGGAAACTAAACAGACAGGTTAGGAAAAAAAGTTTAGGAAGTCTCCCTGAAGGAAGAATTAAAATGGAAAACCTAAGAGTAAATATGAGAAAATCCAGGAAGCCTAACATCGAGATACAACTGACCCCTGAGTAACATGGGTTTGAACTATATGGGCCCACTTACACATCTATTTTTTTAACAGATATATTGGAAAATACTTCGGAGATTTGTGATAATTTAGAAAATGATTTTCTCTAGCTTCATTATTAAGTAAATAGTATGTACTGTATTAACATACAAAATGTGTTAACTATTATTGGTAAGGCTTTCAGTCAACAGTATGTGATTAGTAGTTAAGTTTTTAGGGAGTTGTTATATGCATTTTTGACTGCACAAGGTAAGAGGGAGGTCTGCACCCCTAGCCCCTGCATTGCTCAAGGGTCAACTGTAACTTATTTTTTAGGAAGAGAAATCGAGTTGGAGGAATCCACCAAAAACTCAAGAATTTCCCAAAACTTAAGAACTTGACTTTCCATACTTTTAAAGTATCCAGCACAATGGATGACCCACTCCAAGATATATCATGGAAAAGACTTCAAAAACATTACATACAAAGAAAAGATCCTAACAGGTATAGGGTGAAAGTGAGAGAGAATGGATACAAGAAAATTAAGAATAAGAATAGCTTTGCTTTCTCCACAACACTGAGATGATAGAATTATTTTGAAGGCACTGGCCCCCATTGTTTTCTAAGGAAAGGTTATCCCAACCTGAGAATTCCCTATTCCTAGCAACCTTACAAATTGAGTGTGACAAAAAACATCCAGAATACCAAGAAATGTTTCTCCCACCCACATTTTCAGGAAGGTAGTTGGAGATGATAAATCAAGAAAGAAGTCAGTGTAATAACACACACATTATGACAGTGAAAGGATACACTAACCCAAAAGGTACACAGCAAACTTAGAGGGTACACCAGTGAAAACTGGAGCACATGGAAACAGAAAGCATCTCTAAGAAGTCTGAACATATTAAAATGAAGTTGGCACAAGTGAAGGAAAGCTTGTGGAAAAAAATCAGTGACAAGTACAAAAATATGAAGGAACTCCCTCCCAAAAAAAGTTATGCAGAATGGCCTAGTTGTGAAAAGCCACAAGGTAAAAACTGAGCTTAAGCTAATCGTAATTATAATAGAACCTTAAGATAGTAAGGACGTGGGCTGAGAACAGCAGGATGGTGAAAAAAAGAGCTAAATCCTTAATCTCCACACCAGAAGTTTAACAGATGAAGACCTAAAATTGAAAAACCAATACATAGCAAAATAAAGCAAGTCATTTAATGATATGGGGGTAAATAATGTGAGAATCAGCAGATTTCAAAGTGTTACCTTTGCGGGGGAGGGGGTGGAATTTTTTTTAGAATGTTGCTTTTTTTAGAGTTACTTGATTTTTTTATACTAAATCACTGTAACAGTGAAAATGAAAAGTACACTTTTTAAGAAGATAGCTTTATGTAGCCTAGAAAGTAACAACATTAAAATCGTAAGAGCAACAACTATAGTGGTGAGTTAAAAGGTTATCTCATCTATAATACACAGAGGAAGTTCACTGATCATCTCTAACTGGTATTACTCATATTGGTAAAAACAAAACAAAAACCCCAACACCTCAGAAGAACCTCTTCCACTGGGAAGGAATTGTGTATATAAATCAAATAATGTATTTACATGTAATAAATCAAATCTTACATCAAATCTAATCTTACACACAGTTGAAGCACATGGTATAAAAATTTGTTTGGGAGGCTAAGGTTCTCTGTATACAAGTATATGTAAGCATAGCCTTTAAGAGCACCAATTTGACTTAACCTAGAAGCCATGTAACTGCCCGTTTCTAAACAACATCAGTTACCTTGTATATTTTTTAATGACTCAGGGTATACATACACTACTGATAAATGCCTTACAATGTCCTACTGAACTGACATGAGGCTCTTTGACCTGATGTTAAATATTGATGAGACTACTGTGCTTTGACTTAAAAATGTTTTTAAAGTTTCTCTTCTCCTTTACTGAAATCAGACTAGCACCATGCTCTAGGTACCCGCTAAAAGCAATTCCTCCCCCTTTTAATCTGTAGTTTATTTGGCAAGGGCTTCAAAATCAGATCATCAAGCTTGTTAGTGGTATATAACAATAAACAGGCTGACAATAAGGAAGAAAGCAGCTCACCTTTAACCAGAAGAGTTTCAGTACATAAGCTAAAGGAAATGAGCGGAGGCATTTACTGTATCACGGATAAGTGAGAGTACTGAAAAGCTAGATTCAAATACACATGTATGATTATGTTACCAGCTGATTTTAAAAAACACCTACTGACCATCAAGTTCTATCCAATACGTTGGAGGAGTTTCTTCCTCTTGATTAAGAACAGTAATTTCACTAGTTGCCTTGAGTCCTCAAAACTGCTGATCTGGTCTCACTTGTTTTATTACTGCTCAAAAAAAACCCAAAAAAACAAAAAGTTACCTAGCTAGACCCAAATCAAGAATCAGATCAGGTCTGACTAGCCACCTTCTGTCCCTCGTGAAATCAGAGCGCCTCCAAGGACAAGAGATGTTGAAAACAGATAAGGGGACAATGTGGCTGCCTTTCCTGCCGAGAACCCACTCCTCTGGACCCACAGATACGTATTCATTTCAAGTTCACTGAGCGCCCACTGTGCTAGATGCTACGATTTCAAAATAAAATTATTTGTACAATCTGAGCTAGTCCTTGATAGTTTTCCTGGTTTGAGAGAGAGAATGCCTCTACAAGGCTCATTTAGGAACTAAGAGCATGGATGAAGTCTGCTTTCTGTCTTGTCATCCCCAGTATAAACTTTTACCTTCCTTATATCAGTCGAAAGTCAAAACAAGTAAGGCACATTTAAAAAAATTCCCCCCTTTAATTGAGCAAAGTAAAGCCATGACATTTCGTTTGGTAACCTGCTCAGAATTATAAAAATCATTCCATTTGGCCCAGCACATACTGCCCAGGGCAAAACTTCCAGACAAGTCTAGTCCCGTCACGTTCTGTTCTTATAAACTGCGTATTTTAAAAATGTCTTCAGCGTCCTAAATGTGACGCACTCAGTGCGAAGCATATCAGAGCTGGATTAACACTTATGTCCGCGACAAGCCTCGATTATCCAGGTCCTTTACCTGTAACATAAAGACGTCAGTTTAATATTTGCAATCAGATCAACTTGAGAAAGGTTCTCTACTGAGCTGGGTTCAACCAGACAGGGAGGAATTCTGCTGGATTCTGCTACCTGGTTTGGTTTTGTGACTCAGTGAACATTGATTTGAGACTAGCTACTCTCAGCTTAGTCTTTTGAAGTACCTCTGTAAGGAACAGTATAAATGACCTACCTCCCAAATATATCAAGGGTTCTCAATCTTTGCTTATGGAAGATATAGAACACACTTCCATGTGACTCTCGATGCCATAAAATCTCTCTCTTTCCCTGCAAGCTGATAATCACTAAAACAGATCAAGTCCAGCCCCAACTGAAAAAGTATCACTGCAGCCACTGCCAATGAGACAGTAAACTGTGGTATCTACTCTCTGAGAATAATCTAAAGTAAAAACAGTAAAACTGAGCTGCAAGCTACTTTTCAGACATTAGAAATGTCCCTATTTTAGATATACATGGCCCATTTTTAAGCACTAGAACCAATCTGCAAACATGAGGGCTGCTTTCTCAGTGTAACATCTGCTCACCTTGTATATTCTGACTAGCCAATGTTCTGTCGTATATGCTTCCTCCAGGACATCAAGCTCAAAGTCTTTATTCCCAATCTCAGCATTCCGAACACGGTCAAAGCCTGGCGGACGCTCTAGGAAGGGATGAGAAAGGAGACACAGTTCTTCCTACAGTGCTAACTTCCTTAGGAAATAGTAAATCAGTCTGTAAATCATCTACTAATTGTGATGTTATTCTTTCAGACTGCAGAAAGGCCTTCAGGAAAGAACATCCTCTCCAAGATGATGTTTTGGCAGAGTCCCTGGAGGTGATCTCTTCTGAGAGAGGGGGCGCTGACTTCCAAGCCCCTCTATTCCCAAGAATTGCCACCCAGAGGCCTCTGTGAGACATTTGCAACCATTCCGTGGATCAGAGAACCTACCAGATGTCAAAGGTCTGCATCCACCTCAGAAATTGTCCCTCGTGCAGAACCAAGAAACTGAGGTCAGAAGACTGTAACCTAATCAAATTACTCTCGATTCTTTTCCCTAAGAAATGAAAAGTCCTTGACCTCACTCATCACCCCTCATTTCTTTCTCTATTGTGATACCTTTTACTGAGAGGCAATAAAGAATAATGGGCAAAAGCACACAATTTAGAGCCAGACTGCCTGCATTTAAATTGCTTCTGCTACTAGTTATGTGACTGAGCAGTTAAGTAACCTCTTTGTGCCTGGATTTCCACACTATAAAATGGAAATATTAGTATCTATCTTTTGGGTTGTTGTGAGGATTAAATGAGATGTAAAGCAATTAGGACAGTGTTTGGCATATGAAAAATATGTGATGTGTTAGCTGTCACTGCTTTTACCAGTTACTAATGTTGTTATGAATCACTCACTGGCTTCTGTGTAGACCTGCCCAAAGCGGTAGTAACACATCTTGTACATAAGGCAGTTGAGCAGCACTGGAGAACCTTCACGGTCCACACGGAATTCCCCAGTTGGAGTATAATAATCATGCTCCTTAATATGTTTGCCTGTGTCTGTGCTCCCTCCAATCCGCACCATCCACAGAAACTTGTTGATGTCTAGAAGGAAAAAAAAAAGAAGTGCCTCACAAAGGCTGCTGGAATAAACCACCTAATGAAACAGTCATTGTTTCTAAGGAATTCCCCAAAATATTTTTCTAATGGGAAGTGGTACCATGTAACTCTAATTTATAAAAATAGGCAAGAGAATGTGTAGGCAAAACTTTTTTCCTCAAAATACACAACTCTTCCTATAGATTATTGGGCTCCAGAAATCCTATGCTATTGGTCCAGACTTTAAATTATTCCTAGGTACTAGCTGGAGATGGGTGGTCCAACATAAGAGGTACTGACACTTGAACTGTTGCTAGTCCAAGTCAAGTATGCCGTCAGTATAAAATGCCCACCGGGTTTCTAACTTAGTCCAAACATAAAATGAAAAGTGGTAAAATATCTTGGTTACATGTTAAATGATAATGGTTGGGGCCTATTTAGTTAAATAACACTACTAAAACTCACCTGTGAGGTTTTTTTTTTTTACCTTATTTTGATGTGGGTAATAGAAAATGTAAATGACACATGTGGCTCCTGTACTTTTATTGGATAGCACCAATCTAGAGAGTAGCAGCTTCACCAGAAAGGTAGGGAAGACACAAACATGCTCCCTCTTGACCAACAGTTGCAGTTGCAAACCTCCAAAGCCTATCTATGAGAAGTCAACATTTCCATGTCAAACAAACCATCAGGCTCCATAAATACCATTAACTCAGGTTATCTTAGAGTATGTTATTCTCTGTATCTCCTTCACAGGCTTTAGGGAAATGAATGGTTTGTATAAAAAATATTATTGATCCCTAAGAAAAAAAGATTGCTACTCAGTACTGCAAAGGGCTCAAGGGGCTATCACAGTGGTTAAGCACACAGACTCTGAATCTAAGCTGCCTGGGTTTGTTTCAGCACTGCCAATTCTAGGTGGGTGACCTTGAGCAAGTTACCTAACCTCTCTATGCTTCAGTTTTCTTATCTGTCAAATTAGAAAAATAAGAGTATTTACAACCATAGCTGCTGTATTACAAATTTATAAGAGCATATAAAGCATTTAATGCATCATTTGTCACATAGTTACAATAAATAAGCAATCAATAATATTACTATCCTCATGTAGTATCTACATTTTTACCTCCATCTTACAAATGTAATAACTGAGGCATGGAGACCTGCTGAGATCACACAGCCAGACAAAAACAAAATCCCAGAGCATCAACACAAATATCTTAGAGCACTGATATTACAGCTTCCAGGCAGGTATATCTGAAGCAAAAACCTGACAAGCTTTAAGAATGGGAGAGTACATAGCAAAAGTAATGATCAACAAAATAAAAAGACAACCTGTGGAATGGAATAAAGTGTTTTCAAACCATAGATCAGATAAAGGGTTAATACCTAAAACATATTAGGAATTCATACAACTCGACAGCAAAAAAGAAATCTAATTGAAAAAATGGGCAAGAACAGACATTTTCCCAAAGATATTCAAATAGCTAGCATGTACATGAAAAGGTGCTCAACGTCACTAATCATCAGGGAAATGCACCATGAGATATCAAAACTACAGTGAGATATCACCTCGTAACTGTTAGAAGGGCTACCATCAAAAAGAAAACAGGTAATAAATACTGAGGATATGGACAAATAGGAAAACTTGTGCACTGTTGGTGAGAATGTAAATTGGTGAAGCTGCTGTGGAAAACAGTACGGAAGTTCCTCAAGAAACTAAAAATAGAACTACCATATGATTCAGGAATCCCACTTCTGGGTATGTATCTAAAGGAAACAGAATCACTATCCTGAAGAGATAACCCCCATGTTCACTGCAGCATTACTTACAAGTGCCAAGACATGGAAACAACCTAAGTGCCCATTGACAAATGAATGGATTAAGAAAAATACGACATATATAATGCAAATACTCTTCAGCCATAAAAACGGAAGGAAATCCTGCCATTTGTGACATGTATGGACCATGAGGCTAAATGAAATAGGGCAGACAGAGAAAGACTACATGGTCTCACTTGTATGTTGAATCTAAAAAAAACCAAACTCAAAGATCAGATCTGTGGTTATCAGAGGCTGGCGGGTAGGGTGATGGGAGAATTGGGTGAACGTGGTCTAAAGGTACAAACTTCCAGCTATAAATAAGTTATGGAAATGTAATGTATAATGACTGTATTTAACAATACCATTGTATATTTGAAAGTTGCTAAGAGAGATCTTGAAAATTCTTATCACAAGAAAAAATAATGCATACTATGTGAGGAGACAGATGTAAACTACACTTAGATGATAATCATTTTGCAATACATACACATAACAAATCATTCTGTTGCACACCTTGAACTTATAAAATGTTATAGGTCAACTGTCTCAAAAAATTGGGGAAAAGTAATACATAAATGAATGGGCATGGCTGTAGTCTAAATAAATAAACCCCTGGTCTACTGGGTCATTAATCAATGATATTTATAGTACCTTAAAGTTTCCAACATAATATCTGAGAATACATTCTAAATACTTTAAAATATTTTAGATTTCTAAAAAATTGTTTTCTATTAAAATTTTCAAAAGTTAAAAAAAAAAGAAAGAATAGAAGAGTAAAAAGTAACGGGAATTATATGAAGGATAGCCCATTGCTGAAAGACATTGCCTACAAAAAAAGAAAAGTTCAAAAGACAATAGAATTGTGTGAATAGGGTAGTATTGTATGAAAGGGTAGTATTATGTTAAACTGTGACATACTGGATTATGATCAAATCCAAATACTTTTAGATTTGCATTAAGCATTTAATAAAAAATGAGCAACATGAAATAAACATGACTTGCAAGAGGGCAAAAAATCTTGCCCACGACACTAACATTTCAAGGAAGTTTAAATTAAGAATATTTAAGAAATATCAGATGTGACGATGAAACAATGAAACTTTAAAAATGCAACAGAATTTTTATACCCAAATGCCTGTTAATCCTTTTAGAAAATGTAATTTTTGGAACTTGTACCACTGAGCATAAAAATGCTCAGAACATTTTGGAATTTCTCATTTGGAATGTCTTCAGAGCCCAATTCATGTGGGTGTTTTTAAAAACCACTTCACTGAAGTATGTCTGATACAAAAGCTGGACTGTTACTATGATAAATAGTAACAACAGTAACAAACTTTGAGTTCACTCCTTTTTATTGTACAATACCTCTCAAATTTTTCAGAATTCCAGCTAATAACTTTGGAGCTTGAGAAATAAAATATGAGAAAATAAATCAATACTGTCTCCTTTCATGATTTTCACATGCATGCTTTCATGGATTTGGATAATAACAAAGTTGTTGTTTTTAAATGGTTATCTTAAAAAAAAAGTCTAGCTTCCATACATAGGTGAGAGTAATTGTCAAATCATCATCCTTTCAACTCAAAAGCACAGCATAATGTCCAAAGAAAGATTTTCTCTGATAAGGCTTTCTTTCTGAATAGGTCTTTCTTTATATAAACTTGACCTAAGCTATTATTCTCACAATTTGACCTAACTAAATCTCTGATTTTCATACATTCCTACGTGACCAATTCATTATGAAGCAGCAGCTGTTCCATCATTAAAACATCTGTATTACCCCTGCATACCTGTGCAGGCAAATACCAAGTGTAGGCAAGGATGTACAGCAACCAAGAATTTCAGATACTGCTGATTAGGAATTTAAAATTGGTACTAAGCACTTTGGGAATAAATCTCTTTGCCAGATCTATAAAAGTTGGAACACATGTATTCTGTCTAAAATTAGCAATTGCAGCCTTTGATACATATGTTCACCAGAAGACATGTGCAAGAATGTTCATAATAGCATTATTCATGATAGCACCAAACCAAACACAGCACAAATATCCATCAACCCTAAAACACATATATTGTGCTATACTGACATAATCAAATACTATATAGGAATGAGAAGAAATTCTAATTACTTGCAACATGAATGAATTCTGCAGTAATATTGACCAAAAAAGGGCAGAAACAAAGAGTGCATACTGTATGTACTACTCCATTTATAAAGTTCAAAACAGGTAAACCTTTCTGAGTGTGTATACATTGTGTCAAAACTTATCAAATTACAGATTTTAAATATGTGCAGTACATAGTATGTCAACTATACTTCAGTAAATCTGTTTAATAAGCAAACAAATGGCTATTAGAAACTTGAGACAGTAGTCACCCTTAGTAAATGGACATAGATACTGCAAGACATATTGGGAGTTATTCTAGGACATTGGTAATGTTCTGATTCTTGATTTGGGTGCTGGTTACATGGATATGTTTCCTTCTTGAAAATTCAACAAGCTATACAGTATTTCTCAAACTTTACAGTATCTGTATTTTTTTAAATGTTAAACTTATCACAAAGTTAAACTTCAAAAACCTGTTTAATCAAAACCTGCTGATCTTAAGTATTTCTTTTCATGCAAAATTACTTTGTCAAGTATCTCATATGCTAATTTCCTTAATTTCACACACAAAAAATTATGTGTTCCAAAAAATAACACTCATTTTTACACCAGCATTAAACATATACTTGTATTCAACTTAGCAGGCAATAAAAGGCTGAGTGACTCAAAGTGGTTACTTAATCATGGTTAGTGCTAAGGTTTCAGAAACTATGCCTTTCTACCACATATACATATATATATAAGTACATTCATATATAAAAAAATACATATACCTACAGATATACATACACAAATGCTTTTCTATGGTATTTGGATATATATTATTATAAAGAGAAACCTTCAAATAATTACAACAGTGCTGGTGTAATTATTTGTGAAAGTTCAAGTATAGGAGACATACTATCAGATATTGCTCTTCCCTTGCTTTTACAGGACCCACATGGAAACCAGTCTTACTATTTTACCTTACACTTTATATGTACTATTTGGATGGATTTGTTAAGCCTGTCTATATCAGAAGCCAGAGATAATCTAAAATTCGAGTATCTTTAAGAGGCAGCTACATATACGAAGAAAATTAAGATGAATATATGAGATAATTATTAACTGTAGGAAAACAAGTTATTCTAGATAAAAATGAAACTATGGTGTACTGGTTGACTCAGCAGTGAATATTTAGTTACGATTCTAAAAACACTTTATCTGGATTCAACTAAAAATTGAAAACTCTACTGAGAAGACATACCAAGGAAAGGAGGGGATGGAAGGTGACACAAAGAACTAAATTCCTTATCTAGTATAAATAAGCTGACACAGTATATCTAAAATGATCGATCAATAAATAGCAGAATATACATTTTAGAAAAATGGACATAAATACTAGAAAAAATAACTGGAAGAGTAATTGCCCCTGGGAATTGATGTTATAAGTAGGTTTAGGTTTAAGGATGGGACAACCACTTTTTATCATAAACCTTCCGAAGTATTTAACATTTTAAAGTATAAACAGATATTGTGTTAATTTTCCTACAGTTTTTTTTAAAACAGAACTATATTTGGACAAGTCTTCTGAAAATATGGTTTTGCTAATAATCATAGGGAACATGGTAACATATGCCATATATATATGTGTGTATACATAAGTATATATTTATATATAAAACACTGAAGGTGTTAGATGACTTCATGGCTTAAACCCCTAAAAAAATGCTAATTCTTAAGTTCATTTTCAGAAGCCTTACTTGTTTATTAGTTATGGAACTACTCCTAGGTCTTTAGACAATATAGCATACTGTACCTACACAGGAACTGTTCACATTTACTTCCTACTTATTGCCAAAAAATAATCAAAATAACCAAACCTCAAATTGCAAATACTTAGAAACTTCCCCAACTAAGAAAATGCATTAATATTATTAGTAAAAGGACAGAAAAACAGGAGATTTATCTACCTTAGAATCAATGCCCTGTAGCTAGAAATAGAATCAAGTACATTACCATCAGAGGAATAGCCAGTAAGGCCTCCAAATATGACCAGCACATAGCTGACATCAAGCTCCCTCATGATCTCATAGGCTTTTTCTTCTGTGGATGCCATTGCCTAGAAAAATAAACACATATTCCTCAGAGCAAAATTCCAGGTCATATGATCCCTCATGGAGAAATATTCCCCACTAGACTCTATGCACGAAACATTCAAATGATCCCTTCAACCTCACCTGCCCTACTCGAGAAATATGGGTATTATTCCATGTGTTATTGTCCACTAAAATTGTCCGATTCGCCATAGCTGTAATCTGGTAGCCGTAATCCCACCATGACATGACCTTTGCATCCTGAAAGGAGAACGGGAAATGCAAATAACAAGCTTCTCATTGCCTCCAAGTATCAAATACAGAGAAGAATGGAAGGGCATCTGATAGGAAATGAGGCATGGCTTACTAATAAATAATGAATGCCTAGCCAGAAAACAAAATCTTGTCACCTGGTCCTACATTTGTATACAATCATGAAATCTCAGTTCAAATTATACAATCCAACACTCCCCATACTTTCATCCCTTATACAAACAAGCATGATGGGGCAGAAGTATAGGGACTATGTAGTATTTACCAATAAACAGCCTGTTGTCATCAGGTAATTATATTAAATAAATGACCTTTAACAATATCACAAAAATCAGTTATTATAAAGATGGAGGGAAACAAAAATCACAGGATACAACGGGCAAGGAATAAAAAATTCTTAATGAAAAGTTTTGATTCCTTAAGAATCTAATCCACAAGTGCTGTATTTCCAATAGCTATTGCAAAAGAAATCATTTTAGATTCTCAAAAAGTACAAACCAAAATTTTTAAAATGGTTACATTAGGTGATCACTTTTTTGCTTCTATTTTCTGATTTTTCAATGGGATGGTCTACTCATAAAATCACCATGCTGTCAATAAAAGTGTACAAGCAGGGTATGGATAATTACCAGTAAGGGTACTTCTTGCTATAGAAGAAATCCTGAATTGAATGGACGTTTGACTTTTAAAACTCACTCAACACCATGGTATTACAGTTCTGATTTCTCCAAACTTTCCACCCATCTAAAAGCTCTATGATTCACTAGAACACCATATTTTTTCTCCTGTAATCCTGCTCCTTTTTCCCCATAATTCCACTCCTCCCGAACAGTCACCTCTGGAGTATTGTGACGAAGCCAATAGTATGCCTCTCGAAAGTCATCAAAAATGATCCTACTGCCATCACCACCACGGGCAGACAGAACAATGGAGGGAGATGAGTAGGCCTCACTGGTCACCCACGTTGAATGAAAAGTATAGGTGATGAGAAAGAAAGCCATGACTAGTATCATCCCACTTGCCACCTAAACAAGGAAGAATTGTGCTGTAAGGAAATTAAACTTACACAACACAGAACAGCTTCTTACACACAGTCAGTAATATAGGTGAGACAGAATAAGTCAGGGGTTATATGAGTTAATTCTGACCACTTTGACAGCACTCTACTCCCTCAAGTGCACACACACACAGTTTCCCAAGTCTACCGTCAGTGTTGAATTCTCACCTCATTTTTAATAGGATAGGTAGAATCCTGTTGCTTCTTGCTCTTCTTGTCTGGGCGACTTATATCCAAATTTTTCATGTAAGTGGACAGCACCTGGGAGACTCCAATGCCGGAAAGAATGCACATAACAGGTGCCAACACTAGCATTAGACGCACCTGAAAGAGACAGGAAGCAAAATCACAGTCTAATACAAGTTACAGGTTTCAACCTGTAAGTGCACCATGACACCAATTTAGGGGTTTTCAGTAATTTTTCAATGAAATGAAATAAGAGAGAAAATACTTGCAAAATACAGAGTAAAAGTATATGTCTTAAACTTTGTTTTTAGTTATATATATGAAGTTACATATGTGTGCCCTGAGTAATGTTATGATGTAAATTTATTTCTTCACTGTGGTTTTGCATCAAGTGAGAAACACTGTCTATAGAATATACAAAATCTCTCCTCTTTTAACAACCTAGCACTTGACAATCTTTCCAGGCCTTTAAGAAAAAAGCATCACTTCCCTTTTTAAGACACCCAGAAAGACAGGGCAAGTTAACTGCCCAGGGTCATTTTCTCCAACAAGTGTAAAAATGCCTCTCCCTAAAACAAAGTTATAAATCCAAGAAAATTGGGCCCCACAATCAGAATGTCTGAGTGCTTCATAGTCTCCAGAGAAGGATTAACAACAGTGAGCAGCTTTACAACTCAGTCCTTCAAATGCTCAGAGAGACGCATCTGTATGATTTCAGTATTTTCTAAATTCTGCCACGCAGGGTAAAAAAAGATTGCAGGCATTCCTCACCATTACAGCAGAAAAGTACATGCTGGTCACACCATACATGATGATGAATATCCGGGCATCAGACAGGTTGCTAAAGCAGTAATAGAGACCAACTACAAAAGTAAAAGTAAAAAGAAGTAAGCAGCTGAAAAAAAAAGATAAATATGTGCAAAGATGTTTACTACAGCACTCTAAAATAGCAAAACATCAGAAACCACCTAAATGTCAAACATTAGAGAGGTAGTTAATTGTAGTGTATTTATGAAAATATATTTCTCTAAAATAACAGTAAAAACAGAAATTATCATGATTCTTTATGAAAGGAAAAAGGTCAGGCAAAAACTATATAATCTTATTTTTATTCAATAAATAATTGGATGAATATACATGAAGATGTTAAAAGTAGCAGCAGATATGTGGTATGAACTCCTGAAATTTCTACCTTTTTTAAAATTTGTACATATCTTTTAAAAAGACAACTCATTTCCATAATAAGAAAAAAACATAAAAGCCATTTTATTTAAAAAAAGAAAAGAAAGACCCCTACCACTGGTAAATGCTAAAACATATCTGCATTGGCCAGAAAGGAAGTTAGATGAGAGAGGCTTCATAAGCAGCCATACATTCTCGAACTTCAATATTGCCAAGAAGATAAATGCGGAGGAGTCAGGAATGGGGGTAGGGAGGTACAATACAAGTACTCAAAAAGAAAAAAACTGAATATAAATTAGAGTTGAATTTTGACTTTTAATATCTTATAATACAACACAAAACTGAGCCACTACCTGCAACTACAAACTTGTGACTTCCACTCTGCTTCAAATATTAGAAAAATGTGCTTAGCCATCCTCCACACTCCATAAAGTGAACAGATAAAAAAACAAATATAAGAACAAAAACACAAGGATGAGGGTAATTTACTTATTTTGAATCAAATGGTCACTCTTGAGAAGGCACTTCAGAACACAAGGCAACAGACCTGGAAACATGAAGACAAGAAGCTGCAGATCAAAATAGTAAGAAGACCAGGTGGTAGGCTGGTGCTCAGACACAGAAGCAATGATGGGGATATTGTTCTTGGCGTAAGAAGGATCCAGCAGTGAGTAGAAACGCCCAGTCCAGGGAGATATTTTTCCTGGCAGCAAATAAACAACAAAAATTTCCCAATCATTTCTGAAACAAAATAACACCTGATCTTGATTAATCACACTTGCCATTTTTATAAGATTCTCTGCAACAGAGAGAAGGACTAGCTAGGTTTTTGTTTAAATGCCACCAACACTTTGGGAATTGTACTCCTTTATTTCAAACTTCAGAGTACTTTGTCGGCACAGCCACCAGAATAAAATCAGGCCGTATATAAACTCAGAAAAAAGGGTGGCAGAAATACTTCAAAGAAGGGTTTTAGGCAAATCTGGTCAAACCAAGGACAACTCTATAATCTAAGTCAACTATGTCCTTGAGGCTGCTCTGAATTAGGCGAGACACAGAGACTTGGAGAAAATCAAATCAGCCTCTAAGACGTGAAGTGAGGAAAATGAAGGAAAACAGAAGAGGAAATGTGATATGCCAACCAACTAAACAGCCATGCATTAGGGCATATGGGATTAGGTGAGGCCATGTTATAGGGTATGGAAAGCAAAGCAATGTTAGGGTTTTTCTCACCCTACCAACAGGAAGGAAAAGAAAAAAAAAGAGTAGAAATATTAGCAAGATAAGATACAGTCCTTTCAGCAAGTGTAATTCTGAGATCAGCTGCTGTAACAAGACATTCTTGCTATGCTGAATGCAAACACCGAGCTGGCAAGTGGACTGAATGTTAAGTAGAACTTCATATGCTTGAATGAAAAGAGAAATAGGAGGAAAAGAATGAATCTTTCTGTGGTCAGGAAATAACTTAGTATCTCTGGACTTCAGTCTATGTCCATAACCATTTGCACTTAATACTAAAAGCCATAAGCCTCCCCTACCTGTCAGCATGAGGAGGGTGCCCACTGTGAGAAGGACGAAGCCTACCAGGGAGATGACACTCCGGAAAAGAACTTCAAATTGCTGTGGGTTCAACTTGCTGCGCAGATAATCGACAAAGGCATGGATCTGGCAGAGACCAAAGACCCCAAAGGCTGCCATGTGCTCTGATGAAAGGACGGGCTGTAGGTGAAAACATATGTATGAGAATAATATTAGGAAAAGAATGGGTCCAGCCTCGACCTGAATTATCCTGACCTCATTCAGACCAAAGGGTCAAATGAGTTCTGAGGCCACCAAGGAACTAAGGCCAACCTAGGGGAGGGTCTAAATCATCTGCCACATTTTCCTAAGAATATCTGTAGTCCCCAAAGCACACCACACTCTATCATCATCACATTTCTATCTCTATCATGTAACATCTCTGGACTTTGCTCAAGCTATGCTTTAGCCTGGATAGCAATTTTCTTTTTCCCAAAATTTGTGTTTGTTGAAATTCTCATTATTCAAGGTCCAATGCAATACTCCTCCTATCTGCCAAACTGAAATCCATTAGTCCCCTATCTGCTCAACACACGTTACATCTCTTCTGTCATTTAAAAATTATTTGCTTAGACCAGTGGTTCTCAAATGCTAGTGGGCATCACAATCATTGTGGGGAGAAGACATAGTGGTGTTAAGACTGCTAAACCCCACTCCCAGTTTGATTTAGCTGGTCTATCATGGGGTCCAGAATTTGCACTATCTGCATTTCTAACACATCTCCAGACGCTGTTGATGCTGCTGGTCTAGGAAGTTCATTTCCAGCTCCAGTATACTATAGACTCTACAGGCATACCTCATTTTATTGCACTTTGCCTAGTTATTTATTTCCTTAGAAAGAATTTCCAGAAATGGCAGAAAAATACTATAGACATTCTTTAGGCTCATGATAAATACTGCCAAAGTGCTTTTCAAAAAAAGATTGTTCAAATTAGCTGGAGCAAGTGGACATCCATAAGCATAAAAAGTAAACCTTGAATTAAATGTGACATCTTACAAAAAAATTAACTCAAATGGATCAAAGACCTAAATGTAAGACATAAAAGTATAAAACTTTTAGAAAATAAGGAAGCAGGAGAAAATGGTCAAGACCTAGCACTAGGCAAAGAGGTCTCAGACTTGACACCAAAAGCATGACGCAGAGAAGGAAAAACTGATGAACTGAACCTCATCAAATTCAAGATGTTTGCTCTTCAGAAACCCTGTGAAGAAGATGAAAACACAAACTACAGACTAGAGATTTGCAAACCATGTATTTGACAAAGGACTTGTATTTTAAATACATAAAAAATTCTCAAAACTAAACAGTAACATAACAGTCTAATCAGAACATGGGCAAAAAACACCAGATTTCTCACTGAGAGAATATACAGATGGCAAAAAAGCACATAAAGAGATGTGCAATGTCACTGGCCATCAGGGAAACTACAAATTAAAACCAATGAGACATTACCACACACCTATCAGAATGGTAAAAATAAAAAATAGTGGTAACACCAAATGATGGTGAAGAACTGGACCCAGGGTCACCCATATCACTCATACATTGCTGGTGGGTATGGAAAATGGCAAAGCAGTATGCAGGCTTGCCTCATTTTAATGTGCTTTGGTTTATCACACTTTGCATATACTGCATTTCTTACACATTGAAGGTCTACGGCAACCCTGTGCTGAACAAGTCTATCGGCACCATTTTCCAGCATTTGCTCCTTGTCTCTGTATCACATTTTGGTAATTCTCACAGTATTTCAAACCTTTTCCTTATTATTACATTTGTTATGGTGGTCTGTGCAATGATCTTTGATGTCACTATTGTAATTGTTTTGGATGCCATGAACTGCTGTGTTCTGACTGCATCACCCACTGACCTTCCCTGTCTCTCTCCCTCTCCTCAGGCCTCACTATTCCCTGAGACACAACAATACTGAAACTAGTCCAGTTAGTAACCCTACAGTGGCCTCTGATGTTCAACTGAAAGGAAGAGTCACATGTCTCCCACTTGAAATCAAAAGCTAGAAATGATTAAGCTTAATGAGGAAGACACGTCACAAGCTGAGACAGACCAAAAGCTAGGCCTCTTGCATCAGTTGGCCAAGTTGTGAATGGAAAGGAAAAGTTCTTGAAGGAAATGAAAAGTGTTGGTTCAGTAAATCCATGAATAATAAAGTAAAACAGCCTAATTGCTGATACAGAGAAAATTTGAGTGGTCTGGATAAAAGATCGAGTGAGCTGTAACACTCCCTTAAACGAAAGACTAATCTGGAGCAAGGCCCTAACTCTAGTCCATTCTATGATGTCTAAGAGAGATGAGGAGGCTGTAGAGGAAAAGTTTGAAGCTAGCAGAGGTGGGTGATAAGGCTTAAGTAAAGAAGCTGTCTCCCTAACAGAAATCTGCAAGGTGAAGCAGCAAGTGCTGAAGTAGAAGCTGCAGAAAGTTACCCAGACCTAAGATAATTAATGAAGGTGGCTACATTACAAAATTGATTTTCAGTGTAGACAAAACAGCCTTCTACTGGAAAATGCCACCTAGGCCTTTCACTGCTAGAGATGAGAACTGTCTGGCTTTAAAGATTCAAAGGATAGGCTGACTCTCTTATTAGGAGCCAATGCAGCTGGAGACCAATGCTCACTGACCATTCTAGAAATCCTAGGGTCCTTCAGAATCATACAAATCCACTCTGCCTGTGCTCTATAAATGGAAGAACACAGTCCGGATGACAGTTCATCCGTTTATAACATGTTGACTGAATATTTTAAGCCCACTGTTAAGACCTACTGCTCAGATAAAAAGATTTCTCCCAAATATGACTGCACATTGACAATGCTGTGGTCACCCAAGAGCTCTGATGGAGATGGACAACAAGATTAATGTTGTTTTCGTATATACTAACACAACACCCATTCTGCAGTCCATGGATCAAGGAGTCATTTCAACTTTCAAGTCTTACTATTTAAGAAATATATTTCATAAGGCCATAGCTGCCATAGATAGTGATTCCTCTGATGGATCTGGGCAAAGAAAATTGAAAACCCTCTGGGAAGGATTCACCTTTATTTAAGAACATTTCTGATTCATGGGAAGAGGTTAAAACAGCAGCCTGTACAAGAGTTTGGAAGAAGCTGATTCCAACCTCACACATAACTTTGAGGGACTCAAGACTTCCCTGGAGAAAGTGACCACAGAGACGGTGGTAAGAGCAAGAGAACTAGAATTAGAAGTGGAGCCTGAAGATGTGACTGAATTCCTGCAATCTCATGATAAAACTTGAACAGATGAGGAGCTGCTTCCTATAGATGAGAAATCAGTTTTCTGAAATGGAATCGACTCCTGGTGAAGATGCTGTGAAGGCTGTTAAAATGACAACAAAGGATTTAGAATATGGCATAACTTAGTTGGTAAAGCAGTGGCAGGGTTTGAGGACTGACTCCATTTCTGAAAGAAGTTCAACTGTAGGTAAAACACCATCAAACAACATCACATGCTACAGAGAAATTGTTCATGACAGGAAGAGTCTATGGATGCAGCAAACTTCACTGTTGTCTTATTTTAAGGAATTACCACAGCCAACCCCAGCTTCAGCAACCACCCCCTGATCAGTCAGCAGCCATCAACATCAAAGCAAGACCGTCTACCAACAAAAAGATAACAACTTGCTGAAAGTTCAGAAGATGATGAACATTTTTTAGCAATATTCTAAAATTGTTTTTTTAGATTTAATAGACTATTGTATAGTGTGAACATTAACTTTTATATGTACTAGGAAACCTAACAATTCATTTGAATTTATTTTGATATTTGCTTTATTGTGATGGTCTGGAACTCAATCAGCAATATTGCTTGAGGTAGGCCTGTAGACAGCTGCACATACTTCTCCCCCACCTACCAACAAGACTGTAACATCCTTAATGGCCAGGACCATATTTTTACATTTCCCAGCAATTAGCAAACTGCATACAGTAGGTGAACAATAAAGACATACTTGCTAACCTCTGAATAAGGGCTCCACTTTCATGTGAATTTTACATGAGAAATCAAACACCACATTCTCTGACTAAGCAGTCGTCTCTTAACCCTATGGGATAATGATGTGGTTAAAGGCATGCTTTGGTGCCTAAAGGACTTTCACTTAGGGGATTAGCATTATTAGCATAATGGATTCATTAGAATTAAAAAGGACTGGAAACAGTAATTTTGATCACACTCATCAACTCAGCTTAGAATAACATCTCTCCTCCTCCCACAAACCTAAGCCAAATAGAGTCATTCAATTCAAGTTTCATGGAGCAAGCATTAACACAATCCCGGAAGCAGACTTTAATGACCAATGATTCTACTGCTTTAGCTAATACAAGTCATCCAAGGTTTTCACCTGGGAATAAATCTGCTTTCCCCATCAGAACCCAATCTATTTGGAGCTGCTTAGGGAAAAACAGAAAAAGCTAAATGCACACCCCCCCCCCCCCCCCACTCAGTCTAGGGCTTACCTGGAAACCCACAAAGGAGATCTGCATGGAGAGAATGGTGCCCAGGCAGTAAACAGTACAGTAGGCCACATAGATCCGGTGGGAGAAACGTCCTGTGAGCATCAGCACCAGTACGTGGAGAGGGATCAAGTTGATCAAGAACACATAGCCTCCCCAAGAAGAGACCTATGCCGGATAGAAAAGAGCGATTCCTCTGAGCACTCCTCCTCAGACTGCAACCATTATGCCTTCGGCTATTACCTGTAGCCTTTTTAGGGAACATTTCTTGAGAGTAATTATAAATTTTACACCAAGTGGCTTAGAGTTTAAATAACTTATTTCTTTAAATAGGAAAATCAAATTCACACCCATTGCTGTAACTCAATCCCCTATTCACTACGGCTCCTGCCAACATGAACACAGAAGAAGAAGGGACCCAACCCGCAGGGTTAATCTACATGCAATCTATTTTAGGGTCCCATGGAGGATTTAGGGATACATGGGAAATGTGAGGAAGCAGAAACAGTTACAGGAAGAAGTCAAAGTTTACACATAGGATTGAACAGAAAAAAAAAGGGTTAATCTACATGCAATCTATTTTAGGGTCCCATGGAGGATTTAGGGATACATGGGAAATGTGAGGAAGCAGAAACAGTTACAGGAAGAAGTCAAAGTTTACACATAGGATTGAACAGAAAAAAAAAAAATATTGGAAAAGGAAAAATTTAAGGGGAGCATACCAGAAAAGAGAGTTGGCCACCACTATGTACCCATAGGAAATACAGTATCTGGAGAAATTCATTAAGATTAAAAATATTATGTCTATCTTATTATGTAATGGATATCCACACCTGCCTTAGATCAGGCTTTTTATGGATACAAAAGACAGTATAGACTTCTGGCCTCTAGCCTATGGTCTCAAAGCCCAAGAGCTACTATGAATTTGTATCAGTTGATCCCAATAGGTATTCAGACACAGAGACTCTTGGAGGAAAGGCATGACAAGTTACCATGTAGAAATAAGCAAGGGCACACTTGGCTGCCCAGTAGATGGAACCAGTCTTCACTGCTTTGATCCACATGTAGTAGGTGAGCAGCATGCAGAAGATGGCAATCCCTGCAGAAAGAACACAACCAAAATTCAGTAGAAGGCCAGCTGGGATAATATTTAAGAATACTCTTCTGGAACAAACTGCCTAAATTCATACCTCAGATATAGTACCCATTAATAGCGTAAGATTTATTTCACCTCTCTTTTCTCAGTGAAGTCCATAATAGTATGTACTTGATGAAGGTGTGAAGAAAAATTTAATTATTGCATGTCATGCACTGAGAACAGTACCTAGCATACAACAAGTACTCAGTAAGTTTGGGCCATTATTATTACTAGTCTTTCCAGGCACTGAATTCCTGCTACTGTAGGCCAAAATTATCCCATACTACCATGTACCAACCTGCCTCTACATCTTATCACAAGCTGGTCCTTATGTCCTGACTGTCCCTCTTCTTAATATCTGCCTAACATAGCCTCAACTTCAGGGCCCAGTTCAACCTCAACTAATTCCTAAAAGCCTTCCCCAATCTTTGAATTTGAATTCCTCCTGTCACTACATTCCCAAGGTACTCAGTTCATACTTCTCTTTAGTACATAATACTATCTGCCTGTTATTGGTTATTTTACAGGTCCGTATTTCTTTTCCTTAACAGATTACAGGCCAACATATATTTTTATTAAGGTGCCACTGAAATACAATCTTATAAAGTTTTCACATGAGCAACACTGTGGTTTCAACATTCACCCATATTATCAAGCCTCCCCACATACCTCACTGCAGTCACTGTCCATCAACATAGTATGATGCTAAAGAGTCACTACTTATCTTCTCTGTGCTATACTGCCTCCCCACCTACATTATGTATGACAATCATAATGCTCCTTAATCCCTTTCTCCCTCCTCACCCATCCTCCCTAACTCCTTCCCTTTGGTAACTGCTAGTCCTTCTTAGAGTCTGTGAGTCTGCTGCTATTTTGTTCCTTCAGTTTTGCTTTGTCAGGCCAACATAATTTTATTCACTATCAGTCTCCATTGTTCCTTAATTATGAGACAGAATAACCTATATCTTTATAATACCTACACTGTGTTCTCCCAATAACATTCAATAAATATAGACTGAATTGAAAATAATAGTCATTGTAGTTTTAAGAACATCCATTCCTCTTATCTATGAAAATGAAGTAAATGATTACAATGTTAAACAACAGTACCATTCAACATTAAAAATTAACTGTACTTTTGTGAGTCCAAAGATGAGCCAAAGGCCTTATATAAGGAAATTTACCAGCGACTTTCTAGAGAGGATGACAGAGAAGGAATATAAACCTGTCTGATGTCTGAGGTCCCCTTCTGTCCATTTTTAATCTGCTCATCCAGACACCATTTTTGCTACTGTCGAACAAGAGATCTGAACCCAGATTCTACTGCACGTCATGAAGCTCAAGCAGGTAACGAGGTGAACAGATCGTCTTCAGCACTGTAAGTCTTACCCTCATTATCATAGGAGCCAGCCACAGACCGGGAGATATATCCAGGAACTACAGCAATCATGGCAGCAGCAAGAAGCCCAGCCCCTGCATCCTGCAAGGAATGAAGGGTAATGGGAAGTCAATACCAACACACCCACAGGAGAGAAAAGAGGATCCACTAGTCCCTTCTGTTTATAAAGGACCCAGAGAACAGCCCAACACTTTCCAAGGCAGATGTGATGCTGGGATGCTAGGAATGTTCACAGCACAAGAAAGCTAAAAACCTTTCACAATCAATTCCCCATAATGATACCAAGTCTGAAACTGAGTACAACACACATGCTGAGGACAGACAAATCACCTAGGCTCTCAGACATCAGACGCTGCCCCAGAATGGGATGTCTGGCTAGAAGATTCCCAGGTTGTGAGTCCCTATCCCTAACGGTATCTGCACACGCAGGAACACCAGTCACACCTCTAAAAGCCATAGGCAAGGACAATCAAAGGAAGACAATTATTATTTGAGCTAAAAAATCAGCAAAGATAGGTGATAATCTATCTGGACTAAAAATGCTGGGGCTTAGATAATAAAATTAGAGTTATCACCAGGCAATCTGTGTGCTCAGAAGAAAGGAACAACAAAATATATTCCACACTCCAAAAGAGTAAGGACTTGACTATTGATAATAGTCAAAAATTTGGAAAGGCAGCAAGGAGAAGGATGAAAAGGTTTCTAAACTAAACTTAGATTTCCCAAGCCTTCCCACTAGTTTATCACCTCTCGGGTATCTCCCAGACACCATAGCCTCAACTTAAGAATGGCAACCAAAGAGCCAGGGATTACCAAGGCAGAAACAGTCAGTACTATGGACTCTACTACAAAAGCCAAATGGTTCAAGAATTTTAAAATACTTGTTAAAAAAAAAAATCAATAAATAATTGCTAGGTGTTCATTTCCAAGAAGAAAAACTAATAAGCACTTTGGAACACTTTGAAAAAGAACACTTGTAGTTATTTTTCCTCTCCCTTAGATTGTGAAGACTTCAAAATCTAACCCTCACATTTTGCATTTTAAACTTTTTTTTTCCCCTTACAAAGCAATTTACACTTGACTTCACAATGTTCTCTTACAAGAACAAACAGTTGCTAAGATAAGAAACCACACAGTCTAGGGAGGGGCCGGAGTGAACCCAAGAATCGGCCCAGCAAAAGCTCTTTTGCCTCCGGCTCCCTGCCCTGCTAATGCTCTCAGTTCCCCAACCTTCAGCATCTACGAGAGAGGTTCAACAACACTTATTCCCAAGCCTTCTGTCACCCCAAATCCTTCACCTTGAGCTCTTTGGTGAGGTGGTACGTGACGATGGTGGTGAAGGAAGAGAAGAGAGGGGCCAGGAACACACAGACATTCCGAATATCGATGGTGATGTGGAAAAAATGGAGTACGTGGTAGATTGCAGCAGAGGTGATCATTAAGCCTGTAACAGGAAGAAGAAATTCCATTAGGTTATCCTAGTAAGACAAAGAACTTAAGGGAAAGCAAAAGGGAAAATTCAAATACTAGTGACTTGACAAGACAGGTCTTAACAAACCACGAGATACACTAACATAGCAATTGCAGTAGGCCTATAAATTTCTCTCCTGAGGATTCAATCAGAAGTCCAGAATTTATGAAATGCCACCCATCTCCACTCTCCCTATATGTTCTTCTGTCTAAATAGGATTGACTTTCAGGAATTTGCAATCAGAATGAAATTACAAGTGTCACAAAATGAAGTTATCAGAAATAAAAGAAACTGCTCCAGAATATACAAATACCTTACTTCTGTTTAAAAAAAAATTCTGTTCCCTCACCTGGATAAATTGTTCCTCCAATGATTCGTCCCAAAGGGTACCAGGCCCGGTCATCAAACCAGTTATGGAATTTATAAAATCCCTCTTCAGCCAGGAATCGAGTAGTCCGATAATTAAAATACCTATAGCAAGAAAGAAAAGATCTCTGTCTCCTTCTCTTCATATACTCAAACAATTGCACCAATACACAGTGAATTTTACTCCTCGGGTTACACCATTGAGGAACTTACCATTACTCCAATAAAAGTGTGGTACCAAAAATGATGCCAAGTGTGGGAACAATATTATATTACCATAATTCTCATTTCAAGCTCCCTGTTTGTCTCAACTAAAGCACTGCTTCTCTCGTAAGAAAATGCACATGGCACCTACTATTATAATCAAGTGCTCAAGCTGGATACTTTACCAGGCTGGTAGGTACTAGGCATTAGCACCAGTCAGACAATTTTAGCACCCAAAAGACAGGACACCTGAGATGTGGGCACCAATAAATTTGGCTCTTTTCAAGTGACAGGAACATACAAAAGAACATTTCCAAAGCACACGCAAGGACACAAATACAAATTCAAGTGATGAGCATCTCTAAGGACGTTGGCAGAACACCATACTTTTTACAGATTAAAAAACAAAGTTTTTTAATCCACTCCATAACACAAAGTGTAATGAGTGTTTACACTTGCAACAAGGTCTACTGATGCTGTTATTTAAAATAGTTCTGAATGCGACCTACATAGTAGCATAAATATATAGATTACATAAAAAAATATCTGACATGAAATGCTTAGTTATACATGGCAAGACACAGTTCTTTAGGTCCAAGCTATGTAACCCCTTAAGTTTCTCAATTAAAAAGAAGAGGCAACATAAATAATGTATTATTTAATGTTAAATATTTATATTGTAATATAAAAAACAATTATATATGATTAAATAGTAAAATACATTGTAATATATAATAGATTTAATATATTTAATTAAATTAATTTAAAGGAACTGTTTGATTTCTAAAGATCATCATGACTAACCATCTTTGCTGCCCACCCCTCTAACCCTATTCCTCCTTGGTCAGTTAAGTTTAAGCAGCTGCAATAAGTAGAAGCAGCAGATGGTAGAAATCTCTATCCTTCTGTGTGTCGCTGATTAATATTATTTTGGTAACTGTCAGAGACACAGGGGATGAGGGTGGCAGGCAGTCAACAAGTGGCAGAATTATGTCCTTTACCTAACAATAGAAAGGGCAGAGTGAGACAGAGGAAGTGTGAGTGAGTGAAAATCGGTGTGGACTAGAGTCACACCCTGGGCCTCAGTTTCCTGTCCTGCAAAACCAAGTGTCGAATCACATCATTTTAATAGTCCCTTCTAGCTTTGTGACTACAGAGCAGATACTCCTGCTTTCCCTGAACATCTCACTTCGATATTTGCTCATGTAAAGGGTCTGAAAAAAAAGCCCTAACAGACTGATCAAATAACAAAAGGATGTATTGTTTCCCCATTTGTGAGGAAAAACACAGATTAAATTGCAAGGTCCCAAAGAAAATATCTGTGTGCCTCCGAAGTGCTTTGAAATGTCTACACAGAACAAAACGACAAAATTGCAAATATGACTGGTATTAAACTCCTGAATCAATGCTCTCATAAGATGAATCTGCTATTTTTAAGGTATCAGTGATGCTTCAAGAACCTACAATTTTGGCTCTCCAAATTTTTAATTAAGCTTTAATTTAGGCAATTTAACATCGTAACTCCAGGGTCTATAGACAGACAAGCCTAGATTGAAATCTTGGTTCCTCCACTTAAAATGCATAATCTTGAATAGCCTCTCCCAGCCTCAGTCTCCTCATTTGTAAATGGACTCTTGTAAGAATTTAGAGATAATCTGTAAAATAGTGCTTGGAACAAAAATAATGTTGAGCAAATCATTTTCACTTACGTCTTGTTTTATATAATGAACAAAATCCCTAACCAAACTCACAGCTTTAAATTTTCCTTAATATCTAATTTCCTTAGACTTAGACCTTAGAACTGGTAAGTCCAATTTCTATCATACAAATTGTTAAACAGAACAACAACAACAAAAATGTCAGAGAGCTCAAATTCGTAACTTGGGATTTTCTTTTGAGCCTAAAATACAACAGGTCCTTTTTCTCAATCTGCATCACTAACTGTTGACCAAGCTGAGGATCAGAATTCTCTTAGCCCACCTAGATCTTAAGTGATAGACAAGAATGCAGCAAGGTTTCTCAATTTTTAATAAGCTGGAGAGACTTACTTGGCTAATTCCAACAGTAATGTTTCAAAAGGGGACAATTATCTCCTTTGGAAAACTTGAAGTTTTTTTTCCCCCTAAAGGTATAGAAAGTGCATCCCTATCACTGAGAGGTGACCGGAATCTGAACTTGAAACCCAGGAACCCGAATGCTTCCCAAAGCAAATACGGACCACACAGGGTACTCACGGATCAAACTCGTGGATGACACTTTCAAATCTCAGGACAGCAAAAAGACGAGTGGAAAATGCTGCAAAAAGAATTAGGATTTTTGTGGCAATGTGCCACACACACAAAAAAAACAGCAGACAGTGATAGTATAGACAATTGTATTATCCAGCACAGAAGTCACAGAAATAGAAAATTATCTGAATATTTAACCATCTCTCCCACACAGAAAAAAAAAAGTTCACCTTTCCCTGACAATGACACCTAACATTTTCCACTTAGGTAGGAATCATCTAACTACTTATTATCGAGGCCTATAATTATGCATTCACCTGTACTGCACTCAGCTTACATGGTCATCTTTTCTGCATGTTGACCTCCATGCCTCACAACTAATGTAGCTTTGGAACAAACTAAGAGTTAAAGCAATCAAGGCTATACTAAGGACTCATGAAGAGCCAGAAAATCTTAAAAAAAAAAACTTAAGTTCTGAAGAGATGTTCAGAAATACTAAGTAGGGAGCTAAACTGAAGACAACTGTCTTTTACAAAGTTCAGTACCCAGTGCCCAGTACCTCTTTCAGTCCTATGAGAAAAATTAACACAGCATGCTTCCCTCTCTTTCCCAGATGACCACTAGCCCTGACTTTCATAGTCCTTGTGTTTCTTTTATTTTTTGCCTTCACCAAATTATACTGATGGAAAACAGTAAAAAGAACACATTATAATCAGCTGGAAAGATGAAGGCATTTAAGAAAACCATTCTTGATTTTTTTCCAGATTTTCTCCCTTCCATTCCCAAAGAAAGAGAAGTCTCCATGCACACTCACATAACACAGCAGCCATTGACAGAATGAGGAGCTTCAAAAGTGTGTCCTGTTTCTCATAGGACAACCGCAAAAATCCCAGCTTAGTCATCTTGACATCAATGGGTAGCAACAGATGACACTCAAACAGCTAAAATGGAAAAGTCAAGACAAGAGGATATTGGACACCTTCAATTTACCTAATTCACTTTTATATTTTATGGTGGCAGAGAACCGTAAAGGAGACAGGAGCTAGTGAACACACCAGAGAGGGGCAGGATTAATACAAATACCCAAGCCTGTCCTGAATTACAATCAACTGGCAAGGAAGTTGGCACAAGGAAGTTGTCAAGGCCAAAAAGAAGTCATGAGACTCTATCACCATAACTGTCAATAGTGTAGTACAACAGGAGTAAAGAAGAAAAGCTGAAGAATAGACAAAGGGGGTTGGGGAAGAGATACAAAAAAATAAAGAATGGAAATAGAGAAACAAATATTTAAATGGAGGAAGAGAGCATTAAAGAAAAGGAAGGAGTGTAAGAAAGAAAGCAGGGAACGAATATTGAGTGTAGAAGTCAAAGTAGCAGAAGAAACAGAAATCACGACTCAATCAAAACAATCTACGGCTAAATTTCAGCTACAACTGACTGGCTACAGGCTTCTTTGGAGTTGCAGGGTCCACTAAAGCATAACTGATCACTAATTCAGTTATCTCCATTTAAGACGAGGGAGAGGTGACACACATAGGTCACATAGGCCCTCTCTATCCCATATATCACACTGTAACCACTGCTCAGATCATTACCCACTTCCAATCAGCTGTCTCAAGGCATCACTGTATTTAAATTAACACTGCTGATTTAAGCCAATGATTCCAGAGACAGCTCATGGAACCAGATCTGGAGAGAAAAGAAAATGTTTTCCTACTGAGGCAAGAAAAGCTGGTGGGGAGGGGGTGGGGGGGCTGGACTAAAATAAAATGTTGAGGGAAGCAGTCTGTAGACTATTTGGAATGGTTATCATTTGATGGACAAGATTTATTAGCATTAATTTGACATAGGAGGTTAGCTATTTCTTTTAAGACAATGCTGCTTTCTTAAACCATAAGCTGGTCAAGGGCTACATGATAAAGAATATAACAAAGGATATGCAACATTATTCAAGACAGCAGCGGGAGGAAAAAAGAAACCCACATTCCTCCTTATCTTTTTCTCACTACTAATGGAGGAAAACGGGAACAAATTAACACCAGACTAGGTGGAAGGTATTAAGAATCACACATTCCTAGTTTCAACTGTAAGAAGTCAATCATCTTTTCAATAATTAACTGTCCCAGAGGAGCAGTTTTACACGTTTTTAATTGTAATCCCAAAGGAAAACCTTATCTTGCAATAAAAAATAAACACCTAGTTCCAAGAAGTCCGTAACCCAGCCACATCCCTCAGGTTTGTATTTGTTCTCTGGAACGCCTGAAATAGAAAAACCTAACACTACTTAGTTGACATGAGCAACACACCTAAAAGAGTAAGCAGATGAAATTAGAGTACTGGAACCTCTACCTGAAAACGGAGTAAAAGAGCAAGTAATATGAAGCAAGACCTTAAGGAACTTTGCAGTGTGCTCTGTAGTCATTTTGAAACACCGCTAAGGCAAGGAAGGACCAATACACTTTTACAACACAGCATCTGTCCTCCTCAACTGTGCCTGCAAGCTGTGGTGTCCTCGTCCCACCCTAGTTCTAGATTCCAGGACGGCCATTTCCCCACACGCTTTTTCACACGCTCACACTCCTTTCCTCCCTCCGACCCCCACCCCCACTTCTGCTCACCCCAGGGTGTCCCACCTCCCTGTCTCGCACCTTCACAAAAATCAACACCTCTGACATCACCCACCGCGGAACACCCCACCACCTCAGCATCCTGAGCGCCTGCCCTTCCAGGGCTACCTGGAAGCTACCCTTCCAGGATCCAATCTTTCCCTAAGCGCGCGCCCCATCCCAGACCTTCACACCCTTCCACTCCAGGATGTTCCCACACTACACCCCACGCCCCCTCCTCTGCAAGGCCTAGACACTGCTACACCCCCACCCTGGCCTTTAGAACCCGACCCTCTGCGCTTCGTTCAGCTCCCCCAATGCCTGGCGTGCACCTGCCGCTAACACGTAAGTGACATCCCACAGCCTCCTCACCTGGCCGGCGTTCCTCAAGAATCCGCTCGGCTCCCTGTGCCATCCGTTCAGCGGCGCACCCAACCCTGGCAATGGCCGGGTCCGCTCTCCGACCGCTCCCCATTGGCTGGCTCATGGCCGACAAGATACCTCGGGAGAGCGATAGTATCGCGGAACTGTCTGTCAGACCCAGAGGCGTGGACAAAGCCGCACTCTCACTTTTTAACTGGGCAGTGAAAATATCACTTAGCGGCCGGAAGGCGGGGCTTCGTGCCCCAGCCGAGCTGTGATAGGTCTACTCGTTAGGGCGAGAGCGCGGAAAGAACGTGCTCTGAGCAGTTTGGTTGAGGGCCGAGGAGTGACGTGTCCGTCCGCCGAACGCGAAGGAGTTAGAGGCGGAGGTGTGGCGCGTGTACTCAGTCATTTGACCAGAAGAGGAAATTACGTAAGTAGGCCGAAACTACAAATCCGAAAGAGCCGGGCTGTTGAGATCTTGTCTCTTTTCCTAAGAGTTTTTTTTTGTTTTTGTTTTTTTTATAAAGGTAGAAATTGACTACCTAATAAAACGTTAAAGGAGAGGAGGGAAGAGTTTCGACCTGTTCTCAATGAGAGCTCAAACAGTTCCCGGGGCAGACCGTTACATCATGCACAGGATTTGTGTGACAATTCACTCAAGAGCTGTTTTTGACAATGCTCCCGTAAACTGCTATGCGAAGGAGAGCCCGGACAAATTTCACGAGGCATTTGCCTTTCTTAAGCCCCTGACTTCGTGAACGACTATGCCTCGGCCTAAAGGGGTCGTCGGGGTTAAGGTGGAAGGAGTCAGCCACTGCACAGAGAGAGCCCCCAGCAGCGGTAGGCAGGCTTCTTCCGGGGAACCGGCAAGCAGCTTACCATGCTTGGTCAGCTCACCCCTTTGAGATGCGTGCCTACAAAAGCTGCCCTAACTTGCCTTCGTTCTCCTCTAAACGCCCCCTCAAAAGTTACTGAGGACAGGAAAGGGGGCAAAGTTTCAGCAGCCAATTCCATCGCTTCTCGGACACGCACTCCCACTCCCTATACACATCAGTAAGCAAAGGCTCCACCAGAGAAAGAACGGGAGCATGCGACAACTATTCACGGTTAGTGCTAATGCCACTCACTTTATCTTCCCATTACTCTACTATGAATGCAGTCGACCAACCTTACTGAAAGTACATTTAAATCAGTTATTCAAAATCGTGTTTTCACAAGTCACATGAGCAGGCTCACCCCAGGACGATATGATGGAACAGATCTTTTTTTTTAATGCGCTCAGGAAACTGAAGCTGAACATGAAGAAATTGAAGCACTTCAAAGCTTCTTCAAGACAAAATTGTTTTTTTTAAAAAAGAAAAGAATTACTGGTTGTTATCTGATTATTAGTACTTAACATTTTTTAGTAGAAGCCAGTTCAAAGTCCCTAATTCTCAGTGACCAACATCTTAAAGTACAGCAACCTGATACATAATAGCCCAAAGTTGCCCATTAAAAAAGGCTTTTATCATTAGCATGAGAACTTTCTACAAAGTTTTAAAAATTGCTTCCATTTTATATGTTTTGAGGTGTTGCATGGGAATTCTAAGTTGATCCATGATGTAAAATTCACTTTATTCAAATGTTCACAGAGTACAAGGTATGTATAACCTTCCTCTTAAGAAATCAAATTTTAAATCAAAATGCAAATCCTGTGTCTTAGTTTCCTTAAATGTGCTACTTAAAGATAGTTTTGCATTATTCTGTGCTGACTTTAATATGAAAGTAAGTCATTGCATTTAAAGTTTAGTCTACAAGGACATTTGGTAAGATACAGGTCCTGAACAAATTATTCCCAGTAGTCCTTCCTAAACTTTCATGCAAATACCAATGAGGGAGGGGAGCCACTGGTTCTGAGGTTCTGTTATGAGCCAGGTTACTGAAGACACTTTAAAGACTGCCTGCTAATGCACTGGGAGCTCTGGCTTTGGGCCTTTTGTTTTATGGCTTTTCCTTATAACCTAAAAACTGTTTTGTTAGAAAAAAGGCAAGATAGTTAAGAGGTCAGGGAAGTAATATGGTACATCAGTAATTACACTGCTCTTATAACTGAACATTTACATGGGCATTTTGACCAGTAATACAATTTGTCAGGTCTTAAGTTGAAAGGATTTCTCTAAGGACAGTAAATTATGGGTATAATGTGGTTAATACACAGCTTAAGGTAAAGTTGGCTTGGGGAGTTAATCCTGACTTAGGGTCCAAATCTGCAGTCACTTTAACCAAAAAGCCTTAATATAAATTTATGACTTGTTAAAAAAATAAAAGTAAATAGAAACTGTTAAAACCCTACATTGCACATTTATATTGTAGCTTTTAAAAGTTTTGAAGCTACTGTAATTTCTAAAACTACAGGTTCTGTTAGCCAGTTTTGTCATGCACCCTCAGTTAAATATGACACTGAAAGTGGTCAAAAACTTTGATTTATGACTATAGGTGCTCCCTAGAGGTCACTGTTGATATTTGGTGATAATTTAAGGAAATACCAGGACTATAGTTGGTTATTAATGCTTTGAAGAATAATTTAATGATTTGGTTATCAGTTCAATGTGCATTACTTCTGACCTGTCTTAAGCAGAAAGGTGAAGACATAAATTAGCTAGAGAAATTTTAATTTTATGAGATGTTGTTACCTTTTATCTACTGTCTACATACTTTCACAGTGCCTTACAAAGATCATGTGATCAGTAGATCACATCACCATTTAGACTCACCCATATCTGAAAGGGGAGTCCTGGTTGCTTTTTATTGTAGAGTCGTGGTTCATATTAAGTACAGTACTTCTTTATCAGGAATGGTGTTGGCCATAGAAACTTATCAAAATACACACAGCCTGATTTCAGACCCATCAACTCAGTTCTCCAGGGTGGACTAGCCTGGTGTTATTTGGAATTCTCCCAGATGATCAAACATCCCTGATTATATAAGAACTACTGGTTTTGCACTTTGTCTTAATTTGCTTTAATTTTCAGAATCCCAAACATGATTGACTTGTCAGATCTAGTTGGTGATGTCTTCCAGTTGTATATTTTTGTATTAGACTGTTGCCTTCTGGTTTTCCATTTTTTTGAGAACATGAAAGATTTTTATAATTAAAGTAGCTGAAGAAAAAAATTAAAATTAGATTCCTTTAAAGTTTAAAAAAGGAGGCAGCTTCAAGAACATTAAGATGTTGAGATTCTCATTATTTTTTAAAACTTTTTGAAAGTATTTCTTAAGGGGAGTATATTTAACTTTACAGATGACAAAATTAAGTCAACTTCTTTCAGAAGTCAAAATCCACTACTAAAGAACAAAGTTTAAAATTCTAAGCCTATTTTTAGGATGATTCTTTAATACCAGTTGATAGGGAAGGGCTTATCTATAAGTAAAATCAAAGTCAGGATGGCAAAGTCATAGGAAAAAAATATTATAGTTATTACAAACACAGAGATTATGCATGAATTTGGTGTATCAATTAAGCCTTCTCCCTCCTTATTGGACCCAAAGTGTTGACTAGGTTGTTTCAGAAAAACTGTTTTGCTCTTCCATAAGTTGCAACCATACTGCTATTTTTAGCTTGCTTTGTAAGAGGAGTCATTCCTGTGGAGCTTTGGGTCTTCCCTGAATGTCCACTTACCTCTTTTATGTCATTGCTCAAAAGAACATGTTTTCATCTCCTCTGGACCACACTAGTGTTTCAGTGTCCATTTTCTTGAAGATGTTCTCCCCAGTACTCATCTTTCCAAGGTGAACAGCTTTATTACCAGGATCCTTTTCAATGCACTTCTGATTCCATTGTTTCAGATTATCTGGGTGTTTTAACTAATCATCTATTTCTTTGATTTTTAACATTGAAAGATTTTTCAGGTAACTTCTTCAGAAAAACTGAACAGAAAGTAAATAATGCCTTTCTTTCCCTTGTCCTTGATAGAACAGCTTTTTCCAATTTAAGAGACAAAATTGGGACTCACGTATCCCATAACACACATCAAAGTACACTTTTTTTTATTAAGATATCATTGATATACGATCTTATGAAGATTTCACGTAAGGAACTTTTGGTTCCTACATTCACCCATATTATCAAGTCCCCTCCCACAACCCACCATAATCACTGTCCATCAGCATAGCAAGATGCCATACAGTCACTACTTTTCTGTTACACTGTCTCCCCCATGAACCCACACACACACACATACACCATGTATGCCAATCATAATGCTCCTCAGTCCTCTTCTCCCTCCCTTTCCACCCTCTCCCACCCCTCCCCTCTGATAACCACTAGTTCCTTCTTGGAGTCTGTGAGTCAGCTGCTCTTCTGTTCCTTCAGTTTTGCTTTGTAGTTACACTCCACAAATGAGTGAAATCATTTGTTACTTGTCTTTCTCCACCTGCCTTATTTCACTGAGCGTAATACCCTTCAGCTCCATTCATGTTGTTGCAAATGGTACAATTTGTTTTCTTCTTTTGGCTGAAAAATATTCCACTGTGTATATGTACCAACTCTTCTTTATGCATTCATTTGTCGATAGACACTTAGGTTGCTTCCATGTCTTGGCCATTGTAAATAGTGCCATGATAAACATAGGGGTGCATATGTCTTTTTGAATTTGGGATCTTGTTTTCTTTGGGTAAATTCCTAGGAGTGGAATTCCTGGGTCAAATGGTATTTCTATTTTTAGTTTTTTCAGGAACCTTCATATTGTTTTCCACAATGGTTGAACTAATTTACATTCCCACCAGCAGTGTAGGAGGGTTCCCCTTTCTCTGCATCCTCGCCAGCATTTGTTGTTCTTAGTCTTTTGGTTGTTGGCCATATCTTAACTGGTGTGAGGTGATATCTCATTGTGGTTTTAATTTGCATTTCCCTGATAATTAGCAATATGGAGCATCTTTTCATGTGCCTGCTGGCCATCTGAATTTCTTCTTTGAAGAATTGTCTGTTCATATCCTCTGCCCATTTTTTTAATTGGGTTATTTGCCTTTTCTGTGTTGAGGCATGAGTTCTTTATATTAATTTTGGATGTTAACCCCTTGTCGGATATGTCATTTACGAATATACTCTCCCATACCATAGGATGCCTTTCTGTTCTACTGATGGTGTCCTCTGCTGTACAGAAGCTTTTTAGTTTGATGTAGT